TAGGGTAAACTTTATTTTAAATATTTAACAATATTTTTAAACTCAAGAAAAACGTTGTGGGTCTTTCTTAGCCATTTTGTTTTTTGATAAAGTCTTTTATTAGCCATATTGACATGTTAAATAAAAACATCCGACTTTCTTCTACACCTCTCGGAAACTTGTATGGTTTCGATTCGGTATCTAATTCAGTTATCAGAAAATAATAACTAAACTCGAATGTGAACCATTTCTATTTTGAGGGTTTGAGTGTTTTCGTTTTTAGTAGATATTTCAATTCAATTTTATGTTGTGTAAGAAGTTGTAGTAGTAACCACACAAGTTATAAAACAAAACAAAAACTCCAAGTATGAAAGTGAAATGTGAAAAGATTTGATATGAACGTTTTGAATGTATTACCTAGTACTAAAATATAGTGTTATTATATAAAGAACCCCCTTTTTATATAATTGATTATTACTGCATGAGTTATAAGAAATAATATTAAAGTATCAAAAAAAAAAAAAAAAAAAAAAATATTAAAGTATGTAAATATAGGCACACGTTAGAAAAACAACCAAACCTTTTCTTCCAGCCGTTTCATACTGTCCATCACATACTCACATAAAATTTCTTTGATATATATATTGTTAAAAGACATTTCTTTGATATTGCCATATACTTAAAATATGTTCTGATGAATTACAAATATAATCTTAGAACATCGTCAAATTTTGATGATAGAAATTATATATATATATATATGACTTTGATTAAGCTAAATGCCAAGCTTGCGACGGCTAGAGAGTAGTGACCTGCCAAATTAGACATCTTTTTAAAATTTAATTGTTAAATATTTGCAATTATGTTTAATTATATATATATATATATATATTTTAAATTAGTTACATTTTTTATGTTAAAGAAGTAATATATAGTGTAATACATTTTTACATCTAAATATCTATAGTATTATATTAGTAGCTAGTATTTTTTTACGTATTTTATGTAGCAAGAATTGGTTAAGATTGCGACTTATCAACAAACTAATACACATAGCAAACACTAAACATTCTAAACTTTGAAACGAAATACCGATTAATCCAAGTCATGTTTAATTAGTTTTTTTTTTATCAATGTAGGAATATGTCTCCTTTCATTTTGTTAGTCTCCGGAAAATACTTGCGTATCTACCAAGTAATATATATATTGAATTGAACCAAGAATGATATTTATAAAAAATATTCCATTATGATATTGTGTTCGACCCTATTTGATATCAACTTTATTCTTACTTCAGAATAGTCTTCTTATTGTATCTCATACTAGAATTCGTGAGTACTAACCTTATCGCAAACGCTTTGGTAATATATATCTCATACTAGAATTCGTTAGCACCTCATAGTAAACCTTTACGAGTTACTTCTTGATTTTACCGTAAGTTCCAGAATAATATCGTAAAGAACAAAAAAGAAAAATTATTACGATGCTATATATGATAAATTTTGTATTTAGTAATATCAAAATGTAACACCTATAATTTATAATCCAATCCTTCTTTGACATCTAAAAGTCATGCATGATCCAGATAATTAATTGAGATAAGCTATACACACGTTTGAAAAGGTTAATATATATATATATATATTTTTTTAAAACGTTAATATTCGAATATTAACGTTTTCAAAAAAAATAGTATGTGTTTAACGTATCTCAATTATAAATTCTACAGAAAATTCATGTTCGTTGATATTCTATATCAATATGTTTTTAAGATATTGTCAAATTAATGATGTAAAAGTACTCAAGCTTGATTCTAGATGTTATATAGATATAAATATATTTTCAGCTGTAACTAATCTCATTTTAATAAAACCTATACGTTTTTCACGTTACACCTAATTTTGGCATCAATTTCAATTTGACGAATTAATATGTTCACTAAAAAGTAGGAAAAGTTCGTGTAATATTTTTTTATATGGATGAACAAAAGTCAGATGTTTTTGAACAAACTCGTATTTCATAGAAAAAGTGTGTATCAGTGTACATATATATGCATACACATGCACATATAACTGGTTATAACATATATAATATAATATTAGAAATTTCTCTTCACTAACTTCTGCAACTTTTATAGTTTTCGAACGAAAGTAACTTGTCCCATAAGTTATTCTTAAAGAATAGGAATGTCAAATGTGATATTAATATTCTACCAACCCAAGTTACAAAAATCAATCATTTTTATATTTGGGTATATATAGATTTGAACTTCACTGTAAGAAACTATTTAGATTATTATATTACATTGTATCTTTAATCTAAGGAAAGTTAACCCACTGCTTGACTTTTCAGGTTTTCAAATTTGACGTATCATTTGCTTTTCATGACTGTTAAAGTGTTAATTATAGTACGTAATCAGTTAATTTATCCATTAATACCAAACATTTTTGGAATATGATGGATTAACTGTAAGTTTGTAAAATAGTGGCCTAGTGGTAATTGGTAAAAAGTTTATGATATAGCATAAATTCGTTTTTCTCTTAGGTTCGATTTTCATTAGGATTCTTTGTCAAAATAGTTGCATAGTTTAAATTGATTAGAAAATATGATAAGTATACTATTCGATGACTACACTCATCTTAAAAATTTGTAGGATGATTAATACTTGAAGCATACCTAACATTAAAGAAAAGAACTTTAACTTTTGGTTTGTTTTGTTTTCTTTTTCTTTGGTTTTCCTACACACAAAAATCTTATATCTTGCCGATAATTATATATTAGTTAGATTATGGTTATTCACATAAGTTAATGAAAATTCTATTATTTATAGTATATGGAAAATATTCAAAGTCAAGCGGATAAAAACAATTACGAATAATTTGTCTTGTATTTCATACTTTACTTTTGTCACCAAGTCCATAGCATATTTTCGTTGAACTAATATTTTACGTTCATGCATAGTACCCACAAACTTTTGGGCTTCTAGAAGAAAAATTACGCGACTGAGGCCCAATATAGTGCGTGAAATGGGCCCACCATATATCTTCCAAGTCAATGACACAACCACTTCTTGTACATAGGAGAGAGTCTATGTCATCTTACTTTATTTATTTGTCTTTATTTATTTGTTTTCATCTAATCCTATAAAATTATTTAATGTAGTTGCTTATTTGACTTTGAAGTATCAAGTTCTCTTTACCATCCTAACTCCCTAATTAGAGAAAATACAACAATTGTCCCTTTAAGCGAATCATTTTTCTTTGGTTGTTAACTAACATTCTCAAATTCTTAAAAAAAAAAAAAAAAACATTCTCAAATTCTAGTAGTGATGATATATACAAACAAGATTTTTTTTTAGTAAATCAACAAAATTATCCTCATTTCACAGCAAAATGTAGAAAAAGAAATAAAACAATAAATGGAATTAATTAAAAAAAATTATAGTTATAAATTATTTTCCGACTTTGTGAAAAACGCTTTTGGTTTAAATATATATCAAATGTTCAAAGTGTTTACATTAGAATTCTTTCTCTCGTGTACTAATTTGATAGGATAACTTTTAAAAGGAGAAAAGGTTGGTAAAATTTTGTTGATTAAATTTCTATTGACTATTGAACTCGTATATTAATTTCCTCTGATTCCTTTGTGAAAAACTCAAAAGCTAACCAATTAAATAACCAATACATTTAACAAATCTTTGGAAAAGTATTTAATAATAGAACACTTGAGAAACACAAACTAACCGATCGTGATCGGTGTGACACCACATACATAAGCGATTGAGGAAGTTTGAATTAGAACCGACTTCATGATGGCTTTCCAAATTTAATATATTATCTTAGGTTAGAACAAGTATTTTATTATACAACCACATTACACTTGTGTGGTGTATGCATTTACATTCTCAACAAACAAAAATTATTCTGTTGACAATAAATCAAATTATATTTTGCTTAAGCCGAATAATTTTAAGTACGAATAGTGAGGCAATTTGCATGTGCACACGATCGTTGCTCACATCAAAACTAAACGATATGCGTAGAGAGTCTTTTTGCAAACATAATGATCCAAATCCAAATCCCAGTTCCACTTCCAGCTAGTTCATCTTATAAGTAAGTTCCATCTTACCAACATTGTGTTGGCCCAGTGGTAAATCTCCCAGGTGGAGGTACTGAGTTCGATGCCCGTTGGGAGGGATCTCTTCTCCAAAAGAGATGAATTTAACCTGGTGTGGATCCCGCCTCTGGGAGATGTAGGGCTTTCGGGCTTGAACTTCCAAATATTCAAAAAATAAAATAAATAATAATAATAATAAGTTCCATCTTAAAAGTAAATTAATTTGAAATAGTTAAAAGATTTACTCGAATCTCACAAGTAAGTCAGTAACTAGCTAGAGAAGTTTTGTGAGTAATAAATGATCCGAATTTGCTCAAATAAGCAGTGGAAATCTTAGATTCTCAATATATATATATATATATTTATTTTCTTTAGGATCTCTTCATAGATGAACTCAGTTAATTGTCCATTACTATAATTTATTTTGTTGGATTATTCTTTCTCTATTTATTTAATTACGAGTTACGACTTACGACCATTGTTTCTACAAGTAATTTGTCAAAGTCATATCGTTATGGATGCCATTGGTCCTCTTTGTATTCGTTGTATCATGCATAGGGGTGTCAAAATGGGTTTGTGAACGGTGTACATGATTCATGTACATAGTAGTAGATGAAATATGCAAAGACACTGAAGTTGAGATTTTTATCACTGACCTCGTAGAATTAACAATCTTTAAACACAACAGACCTTAAAAAGAACTGTGTGGCTACAACTACAACTGAAAAAATAATGATACAACATTGAAGGCAATACATATATATATAAACTATATATATAGTCTTCTGCACCTAAACACTGTCCACATAGAGGAGAACTTACCTTACACCGTGACACCATTCATATTTACATACGACTCCTACGACGCCGATATGTCCCCTTGTAAAACCAGACCGGTTTTTTGAGTAAACAGGATTGGTTTATATGGATCCACCACTCTTATTTTCAACCGGTTCATGGAAATTTCCGAGCTTTCTGAGGATACATGGATGACTTTTGGAGTGTTCTCGTTGGTGGTGGAGGCGGCAGCATCAGACGGGAGTGATTCTTGAACTTGCTTGAAGATGAATGTTTTCTATCTGATTCTATTGGGGATGATGATGAGCTTGGGAATGATCTTTTCTTGTTCTCCATTGTTGATAGTTTCAGTCTCTTTGAAGGCTTAGGATGATGATGATGATGATGATTATGCTCTGCTGCTGAATCTTTTCTCACGTGGTTCTTGTTATTGTTGTTGTTGCTTGAGTTAAGATCTAAGGATGAAACAGTTGTCCCATGCCTTTCCAGAGGCTTTTCGATTAGTTTGGATTTGCGGGCTTTCATGGATTTCTGAGAAAGCTTCTTTGGCCATCTGAGGATTCCGTTTGGGTTGATGTGATTTGCGGACTGGACTGCAATGTCACAGAGCGTTCGAGCAGCTTCTAATAGCTGTGGACAGGAAAGAGCTGTACACAACATATCATCATCATCATCAGAAGAGGATTTTTGATAAAATTTGAGGTAAAGAGAAATTCAGTAAATAGTATATGTGAAAACATACCTTCATCTTGAACATCTGGGGATCCCTCTGGTTCTGCATTTGATGAGAGATAAATTGCTAATATATAGTTTTAGTTAAGAGTATAAAGAGGGGGCAAAAAAACGATAACAGATTCTTACCTTTAGGAACAAAGGAAGCTTTTTGAAGGGTAGAAACAGATGCTTCTGTGCACTGGCACGAAATGATGTTAGTGAATTTTGTTTGAGAGGTCTTAATTCCAGCAATAGTCTGCTTCAGTAATGGAGGGACTAAGTTTTGGTTGAAAGTGAGTGATCCCAGATTTGCGAAATTATCGGTTATACCCTCTGGAGAACTCATAGTAGTGTTGGCTATTCTTAGCCATCGTCCTTGACAAAGTGTCTTGCCGGTTACAAGCTTTGCTGCTTCTGAGTTGGTTCTAGAGCTCCCACTAAAGGCCTGCGACCAAGGGAAATGTGGCAATCCACTACGAGGAGGTAGTTGTTTAGCTGAACGCTGCTGGTCCAAGTTGTTCTTAGAGTTCTGAGAAGGTTTTGATGCATCTTGGAGCAGAGAGTCTAAATCTTTCGACGGAGGAAGGCCTAATCTTTTCAATACATCTACAGCGTCGCATAATGGAAAACTAAGTGGAGTGGAAGGAATTTCAGAGTTGATGCAATGCTCCTGAGAAATCAAAAAGTATATCATTTTTCAATTAAAGCAACAAAAAGTCATGTTATACTTGCTTACAGGTCAAATCAGAATATATATGAAACTTCTAAATGTTAAATTAAGAAATCTACCTTGGAAGATGAAGATAGATCTCCATCCAGGGCATTTGCTTTATCGATGTTTTCACCATTTAGTAGTGTAGCAGAGGTAGAGCTGGGTGGTGAACCAAGAGTTCTGCTGAGACAAGTGTCTAATTCAGTAGAGCTTTGTGATTGAACAGGCCTCTTTGTTGGTAGAATGGACCAAACATTTTTGACTACACTCAACAAAGTGTCGTTAGTATCCTCCATTTTCTTCATCTTGTCTTTGCCCATAGAAGGACACTCATAAGAGCCTTCAAGAAGATTTTTCACAGACAAATCTTCAACGAGTTTGGTAACATCATTTATTGCAGGCTTCAGACCATAGGCACCTGCATGTAAGGAAAATTAAGAGGTAAGACACAACACAAGAAAAAGATCAGAGCATTTCACGTGAGGAGGATATACTGACGAGACCTTGCCATATCAACAAGGTCGCATTTTAATGAAATAGTAGTGATATGCACTGGTGCTATGACTTTTACATTGTCCCTTTGGTACCTTAGCGATGCAAAGGATATATCAGCCAATGAAACCTTTTCAATGTGATGTCAGGGAGGATTCAAAGAAAATAAACTAAAAATCACAACAAGTGACCGAGGGGACCTCTAAAGCTACCTCAGAACAGGTTCACTTGTAAATCACTTCAAAGTTCAGACGACGCAATCTATAGAACTGAAAGTATACAAGAAAATATAATAACTAGCCAAAGTAAATGGACCAGGTTGAGGAGTCAACTGTTGAATTAGAGTACACTATTGGATAATACAAGATGAGACTAATTAAGAAGCAGTCACATACCGAAAAATGCATTCTCGCCAGTGGCTGAAGTGATGGTTGAAAAAGTTCTCACAGGAACTTTGGAAATTCTCTTATCACCTCGCTTGCCATTACAACTGGTCCGTTGCTTCACCACAAATGGTTTATCTGTTTAGCATTCAACAGAAGGTAATAAGTAATCTAGCCAAGCCAAATTGATAAACAAAGACACTTTTTTCAGAGGGTGAACCATTAAACTTTCACCAACATATTACATACTCTTTTAAAATATCCTGCTTCTGACTAAATGACTGCATAATTTCAGACAAAGAAATCACATGAGGGTTCTCATTGGAATGAGAGTTACCTAAGCAACTAGTAGATCCTTGCCCACATATCTCCTTGGTGTCGTTATCTCTCGGTATGCTCACCGTTTCATCTAAAAGGATCAATTTCGTCCTTCTCGGAGTCCCATTACTACTACTTCTCGAAAGTTTTCCTCTTTTCCTAGGAGACTCCGCACTTTCTGGACTAGCAATTGGTGAATAACCATTTTGAGGCTCGGATGAATTATCAACCCGAAGTTTAGTAAGCCTATCATGTACAAAGTCGTGTGAATGCATTAACTTGCGCCATAACGATGAATCCGACCCTCCACTGCTACTTCCTGCTCCTGAATCAAGTAAAAGACTAAATCAAAAAGTATCCAACCAAATCTTGAAAAAGTTTGCAAATTTACCAAACTCACCCAGAACAAAAACACACATTTGGATCTACAACTATAAACTGAACTCAGTCTAAAGAAGAATAATTTCAAATCCCCAAATCAACAAGTAATAATTAGCTCACCTTTCTTGTTGATTGAAGCACTACAACGCTCAATTGAAGAATTAACACCAATCGAGACACGAGCTTTCTCACAGTTGTTATCTGCTTTATTCGACGAAACCCTAACTCCACCACCACACCCTTCAGATCCCATAAGCTTAGCCGGCAACGAAACATCCACAGGACAAGAAATCTTCAAACCATCCATCACAAACCCAAATCGCAGCCGTGTAAGCTGCGATACGAACTCATCATCTCCTTTTAAAGCAAACCCAGATAGTTCAAAGCTTCGATCGAGCTAAATCTTAGAAATTTCTGGAGAAAAGTGAGCTAAAAGAGTGAGATTGATTTGGGTTTTTTTCTCTATGAAGAAAGGAGAAGAAGAGAGAAAACGCAATGGTGCGGCTGCGTGAATCGAGGGATTTTAATCTAGGGCAAGAAAATGAGAGAGGAGAAAAAAGATGAGTATTTATAGTTTTCGGGAAATTAACTTTGGCCTTGTTTTAGATAAGCCGTCGACGGTGAGATTGTTCCGGTGAGCTCGACTGTACCGGTGAGTCTGACGTGGCTATTACATTATTGCGAAACGGAGTTATTTAGAGCCGTTGGATATAGACTGATGACGGGGTTTTTATGATCTAGCTGGTTATTGGAATGACACGTGTCAAGTGAAAATTTCACTTGGTTTACTGTGAGTTTCCATTAATGCCACTGGAGGATTCTCAGGTGCTTGCTTGGAGCGGGGGGTGTCGGGAGTAAATTTTTGTTTTTGACGAAATTGCCCCTTATCTGAATATGAACGCCGTTAGATTGGGTGGGTTCCGTTAACATATATTTTTATCAACTTTTTTTATTTAACTAATTTGCTTCTAGGTCTTCTTGAACAAGTCACATTGACAAAAAGAAAAGGAAAAAACAGTAACTTCACAATATTGTTGAAGGCTTTGTTTTTGTATTTAGTTAGTATATCATAGACGTTAGTTTTTTAGAGGTAGTGATGGTGAGGATCTGTGTTCGTTTCTGCTGGAATTGTGATTGTGTGAGCACAGTTTAATATATTTTTTTGGTTTTCTTTTTTTTGTTAAAATAATCTAATGTTTTTTTTTAGAAGTTTATTATGGAAACTTTTCTCCAGCATCAAACTGTTCGAAATGCTCGTCGGATGTTTTTGATGATTTTTTTTTATTTTTTTGTTGTGTTGTTTTTGAATCTATGGTATTTAGTATTTACCAATTACATGTTCTTTAAGGTTTTTCCTTCGTCCGTTTTTTTTTATCTCTGTCTCTGACTCTCTGAAGATTTTATGTACTTGTCGGCTTTGTTTTCAAAAAGCTTTATTTCTTTGTCGTTGTGTATAATTCCAACGTTTATCACGAATGGTTTTTTAGACGGAGAAAACGTTAGTTTTACAGTAAAATTAGTTTTTAGACTATTTTAAATTATGGAAACTTTACCAATAAAACAACAATTATTATTAAAATATTAAATTTTCTTATAAAAAAAATGTATTACCAACAGTTGGTCTGGTCCCAACCCCAAAAAATTATGAATTTAACGCTTAGAACTTTTTTGTTGAACAAAATAAAATAAAACAACAATAATCCAGTTGTCTTAAAGGTATAATAAACCTTTTAGGTAAGTGTGTAAATAAGATTAGCAATTGGGCCTTGAAGAAGAAAACAATTCTATGGGCCAATAGGCGATTTGAATATATATTAGGCTTGCAAATATGCGTTTGTGGAATATGGTTATGTCATGACTCATGTGGATAAGCGTTGGCATAGTCTTCATTACGTTTTTATAAATTATCTAAACACCTAAATTACACAATAAGCTAAAAAAATATGAAGAAGAGAAAAACATAATAATATAAATCTACGTTTGGACACGTTGAAGAGACGTATAGATGACTAGTCTAAGCAAAAGATTCTACAAAAATGAAGCATCAATTTTGATCAAATTATTCGTATTTTTCTTTTTTTTTGTCATCAAATTATTCGTATTTCAAAACATGAAAAAAGAAAGAAATATTAGTGTATAGTTTTCAATACTCGAGTCGCATTTGACAAAAAGAAATCTATATATAATAGCAATCTAATAAATACCATTTGCACATCTGAACGGTTGCGTCTTTTTATCGCAACTTTTCGTTAATGTTTTTATTAATTAAAATATATATTTTACGGTTATGTTTCTCTTTTTTATTTATAAATTGCATTCTGAATGTTTTCTACGGTTGCGTTTTTTATTGTAACTCTTCATAAACAGTTGAAACCGCTTATTTAAATCTTTGCAATATTTAGTTTATTTTACGAACAATTGCAACATTTGGTTTATATATTTAGTTTATTTCACGAACAATTGCAATTTTTGGTTTATTTTATAAATAGCTATAACATTTAGTTAACTACCGCCGCGTCTCTCAGTGTAATTTTTTATAAATTATTATTCTAATTCTTAAATGAGATTGTAACTATTTAATTGAACTGTTTCAACATTTGGATTATTTGACGAATTATTGCAACTTTTGGTTTTGTGTTACGAACCATTGTTATCTTTAGTATATTTGATGAACTATTGCAACATTTAGTATAATTGACGAACCGTTGCAGTTTTTGGAATATTTGATATCTACGGTTGCGTTTCTCGGATAAGTTCATCATATTTTTAAAAAATATTTAAATACTAAAATATATTTAAATGAATTGTTGTTACCGTTTAATTTAACACAATAGCATTTGGTTTATTTGAGGTTGAACGTTTTGGCTTATTTATCAAACCATTGTAATATTTGGTCTATTAGTTTATGCTTTTTGCACTTGGAAATAGTTTTTTAGTTACAAATTATTGTTTTTCTAATATTAATATACTTAATAAATGTTTGTGAGGGTTTTCTTTATCATAATTTTAGTAAAATATATATTGATTTGTTATTAAAAAAAATTCAAAATTATTATAATTCATTATAATTTTTTTGTTTGATATTTTTTTAAATGATTTTTGAAATATATTCCCCCGCGACATCGCGGGGGTCCTGAGTCCTAGTAATAATAATAAAAATGTAGGAGTATCTCCATTTTAGTTTTAAATAGTAGAAAAAAATAAGTTTGGTCAAAAGACAAAGCCGTCCCTTCCGGTTCACACGAGCCGCACGTGTGCTTCCTTTTTTCCTCCTTCCCCGTTCTCTAGCCGATTCTCTCTGTCTAGGGCTCCTCCGTCTTATTCTTCTTACCTTCACAAACCACAAACCCTCTCTTCTCTTCTCTCTCTATTGATTCTCTACGAAGAGGAAAGTGATTTTGAACCACCTTGATCGGAGTCGGCGTTCCATAACTAGAGGTCGGAGAAAAAAATAAACTCTTATCTCATCGCTCCGGTGTATCGAATTCGAGGGGGTTTTTGTTTGGTTTAGTAGTGATTGATTGATTTTGATGGAAGATAGTGTGGTGGATGATGTTATAAAGAGGTTACTGGGAGCTAAAAACGGGAAGACGACGAAGCAGGTTCAGTTGACGGAGGCTGAGATTAAACATCTTTGTTCTACCGCTAAGCAGATCTTTCTCTCTCAACCTAATCTTCTTGAACTCGAAGCTCCTATTAAGATTTGTGGTATTTTCAACCACAAACCCTAACAATTTTGTTCTCTCCTCTTCAAAATTTCCGTTCTACGAGAATTTGCCTAGTTTATGGTTGATTATACATGGAACTGGAGATTGATTAGCTAATTAGAGTTGTTGAAATTTAGAGAAATGCTTATGAATCGTATTGGTCAAACTCGTGTTTCTTTGATAGCAGAGCTGGTGAAATTTGTAGAAATGCATATGAATCTGTTGTTTACTTGATCAGTTATCATCAGTGAGATACTAAATGAAGCTAGAAATGATCATTTGTCTCCATATCAGAGATTCAGAGCTGAAACTGTATTGTTCTGTGCATATTTTTATCATCATTTTGATGTATAATGGTATTAGAAAGTTGCAAATGTGTTTCCTGATGCATGATTTTTGCTGGAGTTGTTTTTTGGTTCGGTTTCATTCCACAGCAAATAGTAGCCTATGCTTGTGTGGTTTGCGTTTCTGGTGAAATAGCACTTCTATAATGGTGTTGTTTTTAATGTTTTAACAGGAGATACTCATGGTCAGTTCTCAGATCTTTTGAGATTGTTCGAGTACGGTGGCTACCCACCAGCTGCAAACTATTTGTTTCTTGGGGATTATGTAGATCGTGGAAAGCAGAGTGTAGAGACCATATGCCTTCTTCTTGCTTACAAGATCAAATACAAAGAGAATTTCTTTCTTCTACGAGGGAATCATGAGTGTGCTTCTATAAACCGTATATACGGATTCTATGACGAGTGCAAGAAGAGATATAGCGTTCGAGTTTGGAAGACATTTACTGACTGCTTTAATTGTCTCCCTGTTGCTGCTCTTATCGATGAAAAGATCCTCTGTATGCATGGTGGGCTATCGCCTGAGTTGAAGCACTTGGATGAGATCAGGAACATCGCTCGTCCTGCTGACATTCCTGATCATGGACTACTGTGTGATCTCTTGTGGTCTGATCCTGACAAGGACATTGAAGGATGGGGAGAGAATGACAGGGGCGTCTCTTACACTTTTGGGCCTGATAAAGTCGAGGAGTTTCTCCAAACACATGACCTTGACTTAATTTGCAGAGCTCATCAGGTAATATTTTGCTTGAGAAAAACCGTTTTAGACATGTATCTGTGGCACGTCTCTTTTGTTAACTTCTCATCATAGGGCTACTCAAAGCTGATGGCTCACTAATAATGGAAGAATACTTATGATTTCTCTCTTTTAACCTCATTGACGTTGATTGTTTTTCGCTTTAGGTTGTGGAAGACGGGTATGAATTCTTTGCAAATAGACAGCTAGTAACAATATTCTCGGCCCCAAACTACTGTGGAGAGTTTGATAACGCAGGAGCAATGATGAGTGTGGATGATTCATTGACGTGCTCATTTCAGATCCTTAAAGCATCTGAGAAGAAAGGAAATTTTGGATTTGGCAAAAATGCAGGAAGGCGAGGAACCCCACCTCGCAAGGTGAGATTCTTTAAAGCATCGAATGATACAGTTATACTCAGTTCTATTAGCGCCTTCTTCGTCTTACGCATCTCATTGATTTGTTTTCTCTTTTAGGGTGGAAAAGGCTGAAGACAAATCCAAGAAACTCTGCTTTGTGTGTTCCATGTTTCTTGGTTCAAGACACTTGCTTAATCAGCTGAACTTATCAAACTGTCTTCTTCTTCTTCTGCTCTGGATCACTCTAGCAAGGGGTACTTCTGTCTTTTCCCTTGACTACTCTGGATCACTTTGTCTTTGACCTCTGTGAATCTGAGATATTATTCTCTGTGAGATACATTTTATGTCGTTTTTTGTTAAAACATTTATATGAAAAAATCCTAATGTTCCTCGGCACTTGGAAAAAAAACGGCACGGTGTTTCGTTTGGAAACTTAACAATGATAGGTCAATAATTCGCAAAACCCTAGTACTCTATCTTAGAAACTAGGTAGGTATCTTATATCTTCTCTATATATACATGTATGCAAACACATGATAGCTCAGAAGAAATAAAACTTAAAAAGATGATAGCTCGACGATTCGCAATAGTAAGTTCCTTTCTTTCAAGGATAAATTCAAAGAAGACGATACAAAAACTTAGCACATCGTCTAAAACAGCAGATCCTTCTCTCCTAAAGATGGATCCAAAACCGAAGAAAACGCAAGAATTCAGCAAATCACAAGTAACCGCAAGGCCCTCTCTGCCAAAGATTGATCTGCGAGTAGCATTAATGAAGAAGCGAAACGACAACGATTTGGTCCTTACGGGTAAAGTAATAGCTTCAGAAGCAAGAAACTCTAACTTCATCTTCTCTCCGGCATCAATCAACTCTGCCTTCTCAATGATGGCTGCCGGCTCCGGCTCTATCTCCGACGAGCTTAAAGCAGTCTTCAGCGAGATCGCTACCGTCGTTTTTGCTGACGGCAGCGCGAGCGGTGGCCCAAAAAATCTCGGCAATTAACGGCATTTGGGTGGAGCAATCACTCCCAACTGATCATTCGTTAAAGGATCTCATGGAGAAATCTTTCAAGGCTACTTTCGCTCAAGTTGATTTCCGATTCAAGGTAATATATTCATGAAAGTTTACATGATCATATGGTTTGGTTTCTTAGTTAGGGTTTAGAGATTTATTGAATATAAACTGTTTAACCATAAGCCTATAACAAACTCTTTATATATAAAAAAAAAAAACTGTTTATATATTTATAGTTTGTTCTTGAATACAAACTGTTTAACAATAAGTTTATAACAAATCCCAAAACCCTAAAGAAACCTTTAAAACCATATAATGAACAATTAAGGATCATCCATGTTGATATCTTTTGAAAGCGAATTTAAATATCATAAATCATAGTAGTGCTAGAGATATTTGAAATTTTGAATTCATATATAGAAATATAGTGTTCCAATGACTCCCTAATATCAATTCAAATAATTCATGTTTAAAAAAACAAAAACACTCTGGAATATGTGCAATTAATTGAATTTTACTAACATGTTTTATTGTTATGAAGGCTGAAGAAGTGCGTTGTGAGCTGAATAAATGGGCTTCAGATCAGACCAATGGTCTCATCAAAGACCTTCTTCCTCCTGGATCCGTTAATAGGGAAACCATTCAGGTTTATGGAAACGCATTGTATTTTAAAGGAGCTTGGGCTATACCATTTCATAAGTCGTGTACAACAAACAAAGAGTTTCACCTTCTCGATGGTGCGTCAGTGTCTGTGCCATTTATGAGCAGCAAAGTGGACCAATACGTTAAGGCTTACAATGGTTTCAAGGTCCTCAGGCTCCCATACCGACAAAGCGATGATGATATCAACCGTGAATATATACTCTATGTATTTCTATCTGCCCGACAAGAAAGATGGATTGGATATGCTCGTGAGGAAAATGACATCTACTCCTGGATTCGTGGATAATCACATTCCAAGTCGCAAAGTTGAAGTTAGTGATTTCAGAATTCCAAAGTTTAAGATATCTTTCATGTTTGATGCTTCCAAGGGAGAGGTTTCAATGTACCATAAAGCTTGTGTCGAGATTGATGAAGAAGGTGCAACAGCTGCTGCTGCCACTGCTTTTATTAGGCTGATGGGCTATTGTCCTGGTCCTAAAATCAATTTTGTGGCTGATCATCCATTTCTCTTCTTGATTAGAGAAGACAGAACCGGAACTATTTTGTTTGCTGGTCAAATCTTTGATCCTTCGAAGAAATCTTCCTAAACGGGCTCAGATCAGGTTTAACCGGGTTCTGATCTTAATTGATCTGGGAAAGAAGTCAAATTTATGCCCTGTAGTTTTGAGTTTAGTTCTTGTTCTAATTTGAGCATTTTTTTTTTTGGTCAAACGTTCTAATATAAGCAATTATAATTAGAAAGCCAAAAATTGGTTTCAGTCTAGGAGATATGGGAAATTTTAATTTAGCTAGGTTTATGTAAGGTTCACTGAATTGATGTCTAAGAAGAAGATTTGGTTCAGAGCGGATCGTTTTATTCATTAAGTTGGTTTTGATGTTTTTTTAATTACGAATTTGATTAATAAAGTTTGATATTTATATTTTTAAGTGCTTCCCAAAAGTTAAATTTTGTGGGTAAAGATCATACAATTGGTATTTATATTTTTAAATGCTTCATAAAAGTTATATTTTTGGTTTTGATATAATATTAAATTTTATATATTTGTAAGAAACAGAAGTTTTGTGAATTCTAATCATGGGCTAAGAATCTTCGACCTGCTATTGACTATAATTTCAGACCCAAAATATTAAGCAAACTTGCGTAACAAGCAACGAATTAAATATATGACATTTTCTTCCTTTTTTCTTCTTAATAGGACAATACACCAAACCCTAGTTATATCTCGATCTTATATCTCCTCTAGTCCTCTATATATATGAGCATATGCTCAGAAGCAATAAACAGAAAACTTAAAAGATGAATCCAAAAGAGCAGAAACAAAAGCTAAGCACATCAGAAACCGCAAGTCCCTCTCTGTCAAAGAATACGGATTTGGTAATCACAAGTCCCTCTCTATCGAATGTTGATGTGGGAGAAGCGATGAAGAAGCAGAACGATGTGGCTATGTTCCTTGCGGAGAAAGTAATCTCTGTCGTAGCCAAAAACTCTAATTTTGTCTTCTCTCCTGCATCAATCAACGCCATACTCACCATGGTCGCTGCTACCTCTAGCGAAGAAGCACTAAGATCTTTCATCCTCTCCTTCCTTAAATCTTCCTCAACCGATGAGCTCAACGCAGTTTTTCGCGAAATCGCTTCTCTCGTCCTCGTAGACGGAAGCGAAAGTGGTGGACCAAAAATCGCAGCGGTTAATGGAGCGTGGATGGAGCAATCGCTACCTGTTGATCCCTCAATGAAAGATCTCTTTGAGAATTTCTTCAAAGCTGCTTTCGCTCAAGTTGATTTCCGTTTCAAGGTTGGTTAGGTTTTAATTTCAACGATTTCTCTATCTTTTTGCACATAGATTCCTGAAATTAGCTTTATTTTGGTGGGACTTGAAAAACAGGGTGAACAAGCGCGTATGGAGGCAAATTCTTGGGCTTCAAAAAATACCAATGGTCTCATCAACAATCTTCTTCCTCCCGGATCGGTTTCAAGCGACACCGAATGTATTTATGGAAACGCATTGTACTTCAAAGGAGCTTGGCAAAACAAATTCTATAAGTCTTTGACAAGAGACAAAGAGTTTCACCTTCTTGATGGCACCTCAGTCTCTGTGCCTTTCATGCACAGCTCTGATAAGCAATATATTACGGATTACGACGGTTTCAAGGTCCTAGGGCTCCCTTTCCGACAATGCGGTGATACCAATCGCCGATTCTCAATGTATTTCTACCTTCCCGACAAGAAGGATGGCTTGAATGATCTGGTGAAGAGAATGGCATCCACTCCTGGATTCTTGGAAAGTCACATTCCAGAATATAAACGTGAAGTTGGTGAATTCAGAATCCCAAAGTTTAAGATCGAATTCGGGTTTGATGTTTCAAGTGCTTTAGATAAACCGGAACTTCTGGAACTTGTTTCGGTTTCATTGTATCATAAAGCTTGGGTCGAGATCGATGAAGATGGTGCAAAAGCTATGGATATTACCCGTTTTGTACTTAGCAGAACCTCCTTTGGCTGCGGCAGGAAGATGGATTTTGTTGCTGATCATCCATTTCTTTTCATGATTAGAGAAGACGAAACCGGAACCGTTTTGTTTGTTGGTCAAATCTTTGATCCTACCAAATCTTCTTCTGTTTAGGATGGGATTTGACCCGATCACGGTTTTGACCTGGTTAAGAAGACAAAACCGGAACCGTATTATTTTTGATTTTTGTTCTTATAGTAGTTTTAGATTTCTTTGTTTAGGACCTAAGTTACTACAACTTACTAAATTAGCGCCGTGATTGGTTTCTGGCTGTTGATTTTGTTAGATCTTTTGCATTTTAAAGAAGATTGAAAAATGACAGTTTTTTTTATTATTAAATAAATTTATTTGTGGCATACAATGTAGCCATTCTTGGGTCCTGGTTCCTTAAACTCGATGGTAAGATTTGGTTCTCCTTACCAGGATCACTCTTTAACATATACTATTTTTCAATATGTTTCTTTGTTGTATTGCACTCTATGATAAGATTAAAGAAATTAAAAAGCCTCCCAAGTATTTGGACTAAGTCTTTTCGACCAAGTCATTTATTTTTTGCTAGCCTAAATCTTGTGTTCTTATTGCTTTGTTTGGGATCCTATCACTCTAATTCTGTATTGCGGGTTTATTATGTAGAAGATACAGAGAAAATAGATCGTCATGTCTTATTACATCCCTTAACAACTTTCGTGGATGAGTTCTTCGCTAGCTATTAGATGAAACATAGATAGTGTTTAGCTAGTCTATAATTATGTGAATAATCAAAAAGTCAACACTGATTAGTGATTACCATTCACCTATATTTGATTCACAGAAGCTTTTCCAAAACTATTGACACAATTGGTCTTTAGATTTAAATTTATTTTCTTGCTGTTATAGAAAAGCATTGGCTAATGCCTTAGCAGCTGCACCGTCAATGTATACAAAAGGAATATTAAGGAAGGAAAGTGTCGATCTCTTAGATGAGCCATTATACGAGAGAGTTTCTTAAACTACCGTAATGAAATATTAATTATGTGGCCTTTAGATTAAGTATTTACAATTGTGGCCTAAAGTACGATGTTTTGTTTGCTTTATAGCATGGACGGGTCGTGACTCGGGAGAAAGCAACATTCATTTTAATTGATCGTTCTTTGATACCAAGTTCTGATGGAAAGGATCGACTAAATACAACTCATAAAAGAGCTTAATTATTAACTAAACATAACTCATTTTACTTATTAAAGCTCACACTGAGCCCATAAAATTACTTACTCGATCATAACATAGTAAGAGAAAGAGAGATCTTTTAGATCCTTTTACAAGTAATTTCCTCGAAATCAGAATCTAAGAGGACAACCCAAGAAAACCACTATTTTTGTTTTTCTTCAACAAAACATCAAACTTTCCACTTCTTTTTGCGGTCGGGGATTCTGGACATCGTCACGACAAGTTGGGCATGAATGCTTGCGCTTCAGCCACGTCAGAATACAATCCCTGTGAAAATTGTGGGAACAACACAATTTCATGATCTTCCTTTGACCACCTAATGATAACTCTTCTAGACAGATTGTGCAGTCTTGCTCTACTGGTATTAGACGACCTTGAGAGTCATAATCTCTGGGGTTTAACCAGTTATCCAGCCATCTTTCTTGAACAATTTCAACGTCAGCTTCAAGCAGGAAGCCTTTTATCCCTTTTTCTCCAAGGCGGCGGCTCATACTAATCGCGTCTCTGCTGATTTTTGGAACGATGAGGTCTTGAGTCCAGTCCTCGATCTTTGCCTTGGTAAAGACGTTAGCAATATATCCTCTGCATATTTCTTCCGAAGCAAGGAAAATATATGGGATTTCTACTACTGCTTCGTTTCTCTCCGCTACGGCTTTTTGTTTAGCCAGAAATTCATGACCGCTAGGACTCCGGACAAGAGTCCGCTCAACTACTCGGATACTTATTGAGAAGGATCCTGAAATTTTGGAATTGACGACGTGCGTCTTAGATTCATAGTTAAGAATCCATGTACTCGAGATGCTCTCCATATCGTAAACCCAAGCCTTATTGACTGATTTGGCAAAGACTAAGTTAAAAAGTGTTTTTGTCTCTGTGTTCTGATGATGATCGGTTGCTGCATTCTCTCGTTTATATATAAAGAGGTCCATCAGGGTCTCCAAATTCACTTTGGATAAGGATTAATTAAGCGAGATTTTTTTTTTTTTTCTGAAAAGATATATAAATTAAATGGAAATAATTAAGGATGCCCTAATTAAACCGACAATATATAATTATACAAATAAAATATAGATGATGTCTCTAGGGTTGGATGGAAACTATTTTTCAACCCTAATTAAATTATGTACGAGATTAAATCTCGATTGATCTGTTTGAGTATCTTATGTCGGCTTTATCTATTATATAATAGAAATCACAAACCCTTAATAGAAGAAAACTCAAAAGATGGATTCAGAGAGTAAGAAACAAAAGCTTAACACAGTAGAAATCGCACGTCCTTCTCTCTCAAAGAAGCGAAGGGTGAGCAGATTACTACCAATCGCAAGTCATTCTCTGTCAAAGATGCAAGAAGCGATGAAGACGCAAAACGACGTTGCTCTGTTCCTTGCGGGGAAAGTAATCTCTACTACCGTAGACAAAAACTCTAACTTCGTCTTCTCTCCTGCATCTATCAACTCCGTTCTCACCATGGCCGCTGCTACCACCGACAATGAAACACTAAAGTCCTGCATCCTCTCCTTTCTTAGGTCTTCTTCCACCGACGAGCTCAACGACATCTTCCGCCAAATAGCTTCCGTCGTACTCGTCGATGGAAGCGAAAGAGGTGGCCCCAAAATCACGGTGGCTAATGGAGTGTGGAGAGAGCAATCACTTCCGTGTAGTTCCGAGTCAAAAGATCTCTTTGAGAAATTCTACAAGGCTGCTTTCGCTCAAGTCGATTTCCGATCCAAGGTTTGTTTCTGATTTCTCTAGGTTTGATTTCTGCAGATATATATCTTTTAGGTTTGGAATTTGCTTTGATCAGATTAGGGAAAGAGATTGTATGAAACGAATTCTTAAAAGAAACTACATATCTTATTCAATGTTTAGTATCGCTGGTTTGGTTTGGTTGTAGTTTTGTAATTATGGTTATTGTTGTTTTGTAGTCTGAAGAAGTGCGTAAGGAGGTTAATTCTTGGGCATTACGTCACACCAATGGTCTCATCAAAGATCTTCTTCCTCTTGGATCCGTTACAAGCGAAACCCTCTGGATTTATGGAAACGCATTGTACTTCAAAGGAGCCTGGGAAGACAAATTTGATAAGTCAATGACGAAACACAAACCTTTCTACCTTGTCAATGGCAAACAAGTACATGTGCCTTTCATGACAAACTATGAAAGACAATATATTGAGGCTTACAATGGTTTCAAGGTCCTTAGACTACCATACCGACAAGGGGATAATGATACAAGTCGCCAATTCTCAATGTGTATCTATCTCCCGGACGAGAAAGATGGATTGGATAACCTTGTGGAGAAAATGACATGTACTGATGGATTCTTGGACAGTCACATTCCGAGTTGGAGAGTTAGAGTTGGTGAATTCAGAATTCCAAAGTTTAAGATTGAATTCGGCTTTGAAGCTTCAAGCGTTTTCAATGACTTTGCGCTTGATGTGTCATTACACCAAAAAGCTATGATTGAGATCGATGAAGAAGGTACTGAAGCTGCGGCTGCTACTGCTCTATCTGTTGCTCCTGGCAGCCTTTATAAGCCTCCTCCTCCGATTGATTTTGTGGCAGATCATCCCTTTTTTTTCTCGATTAGAGAAGACAAAACCGGAACTGTTTTGTTCGCTGGTCAAATTTTCGATCCTTCCGTATCTTCTTTTGCTTAGGACCAGCCTTAACCGGATCAGAGTTTGGGATTTAAAGATTTGCATTCTTTCTGTACTTTTTAGATTTTTTTCTTAGGTTTTGATTTGCTAAATTTTATTTGATCGTTAGAACCTCAAAAGTCAAAACCTAGCTAGTAGGTTTGTTTCTGATCTGGTTGGTTTATTTTTTAACAATATATATATTCTGAAATTTAAAGAGAATTTTTTTGATATCATCTGGAATCCACTCACAACAAAGATATTTCTCTTGAGTATGTGGTTGGCTTCCAAGTAGTACGGGCTTTTCCACTGGTGGAACATGATACAACAAAAGGAAAGAACAGCAGAGGACGGGTATTCCATCATACAGGAGGAATTGTACTGAATTAAATGTCCAGTGCAATCCAATAAACAACCTCAAAGAACCGCTCCGCCCTTCCACGTATAGAAAAATCAAACCCAAAGAAGTTATTCTGGATCGAGAGTGTGAGATTAGACTACTTACACTGTAGATAGGTGTTCGGTGTTCCTCCCTCTCCCTTTAGTCGACTATCTGGAGTTCTTGGGGAAGTTTACAAACGTAACACATAATAATGAGACAAAGTCGACTATCTGGAGTTCTTGGGGAAGTTTACAAACATAACACATAATAATGAGACAAAGTCGACTTTAGAACCTATTGATTAGAGGTTGCTCGACAGCTCAAAAGCTACAAATGTGATGGGATAGATATAAGATTATATATTATGAATTAATACTTACAATAAATGAATAAATAAATATTTTCAAATTTTCCTAGTTTTATTTTCAGGATATATGTTTTTACATTTTTGTTCTATATATTGACATTTTTTTTTGAGAAAAAATACCACAAATTTAATATAAAAATGAATCAAATCTCGTTAAATAGTGTAAATATAAACTCTAAATTAGAAATAAGGCACCCATTTATAAAATTTTATTTGTAATTTATTTTGGTTGAACAAATAATAGTGTGATAATTTAGGGTTTTGTTTCCAATAGTGCACCAAACCCTAGTTCTATATAAATATCTATATATATACCCACATGTATGTGACTAATATGCTCAGAAGAAAACACAAATATGGGTTCGAAAAGGAAAAACCAAAAACTTCTGACATCAGAAATCACAGAGCCCTCTCTCTCAAAGCCGAAGAAAAAGCCAAAGATGGATTTGCAAGAAGCGATGAAGAAGCAAAACGACGTTGCTCTGTTACTTGCCGGGAAAGTAATCCCTGTCGTAGCTAAAAACTCTAACTTCGTCTTCTCTCCGGCATCAATCAACGTCGTACTCACCATGGCCGCTGCTACCTCCGAAGATGAAAGAGTAAGATCCTTAATCCTCTCCTTTCTTAGGTCTTCTTCCACCGAAGAGCTCAACGCCATCTTCCGCCAAATCGCTTCCGTTGTCCTTGTCGACGGAAGCAAAAGAGGTGGCCCCAAAATCGCGGCGGCTAATGGAGTATGGATGGAGCAATCGCTACCTGATGATCCCTCAATGAAAGATCTCTTTGAGAATTTCTTCAAGGCTTCTTTCGCTCAAGTTGATTTTGAATCCAAGGTTAGTTTCTGATTTCTAGTTTTTGCAGAAAATATATCTTTTAGGTTTCGAATTTTCTTTGATAATTAGATTAGGTCAAGAGTGCTTAGTTCATTCAATGTTTTCGATTTTGCTTCTATTTTGTATCTGGAGTACTGATGCGAGTTATACATCTGATTCAATTTTTATGCTGTGATCTTAATTTGCTTTGGTTCGGTTGTGGTTTTGTGATTATTGATTGTTATTGTTTTGAAGGCCGAGGAAGTGCGTAAGGAGGTGAATGCGTGGGCTTTACGTCACACCAATGGTCTCATCAAAGATCTTCTTCCTCAAGGATCCGTTACAGACCTAACCACGAAGATTTATGGAAACGCGTTGTACTTCAAAGGAGCTTGGAAAAACAAATTCGATAAGTCAATGACGGAACACAAACCATTTTACCTTCTCAGAGGAAACTCAGTGTCTGTGCCATTCATGAGAAGCTATAAGGATCAATACATTAAGGCTTATGATGGTTTCATGGTCCTCAGGCTTCCTTATCGACAAGGCAGCGATGATACCAACCGCAACTTCTCAATGTATCTCTATCTGCCGGACAAGAAAAGTGAATTTGATAATCTTTTGGAGAGAATGACTTCTACTCCTAGATTCTTGGATAGTCATATTCCGAGAGAAAAAGTTGAAGTTGGTGAATTTAGAATCCCAAAGTTTAAGATTGAATTCGGGTTTGAAGCTTCAAGGTTTTTCAATGACTTGGAGCTTAATGTGTCACTATACCAAAAAGCTTTGATTGAGATCGATGAAGAAGGTACTGAAGCTGCGGCGGCTACTGCTCTAGTTTTCAGTGGTTGCAAAGCCCCTGTAGTGAAGAGGGTAGATTTTGTGGCAGATCATCCATTTATTTTTTTGATTAGAGAAGACAAAACCGGAACTGTTTTGTTTGCTGGTCAAATCTTCAATCCTTCCAAATCTTCTTCGGCTTAGGACCGGTTTTAACCGGATTAGAGTTTGCTATTTAAGATCCGGTTATTTCTCTCTAGCCTTTAGATTTTGTTTTTACTGATGTGATGTCTTCGTTCTAAATTAAGTTATGATTTGCTAATATTATACTAGGATATGACCCGCGGTATACCGCGGGTTAATTATTTGATTTTTTTATATTTTTTTATAAACTGATGAATTTGTTGTGTATGATATTTTTTGTTGTACACCGCGGGTCACATGCGTTGTATATAAAAAAATAAAAAATTTAAATTGTATTTGTTTTGTTTACTGTTTAAGATTGTATAATTAAATTTTGATTTGTTAATTTTAGGATTTCACCCGTGGTATATTGTCCCGTATTAATATCGACCCAAACCCGTCCCACCATATATTCCTGTCATGTGGAATTAAACATCATTTTGTTATTTTTTTTAATAACACTTTTATTTAAAAGATATATAATTCGAGTCAATTTAAAAGTTTATTTTCAAATAGTTTTCATAATATATATATTTTAAAATTAGTATGTGTTTTTGGACCAACCCGTAAAAAAAATTTATTATTGTATCTTAAAATACTAAATAATTGTATTTTGATTTGTTAATTTTAGGATCTCACCCGTGGTATACTGTCCCGTTTTAGATAATAGTAGAAATTAAGAAAAGATCTGAATGACTCAATTTCGGGTCAGAATAAAAAAACGATTTGATTAAATGTGCAATTTGTTCTTAAAAAAATGTTAATATAGATTATGCACATATTTTTTTTTTCATCGATTGAGTAATATATGTCTGTTTTAAAAAATTTGAATCATAACATATGCAGAAAAAAAAACCTAAAATTTATTAACTATATATATTTTATAATAATACAAAATAATATAAATAAAAGATCAAATAAAAGTGAAATGAGAATCATATATTTATGTTTAAATTAGGTAGAGAGGTTTTAGGAAATTAGCTCAAATTTATTATATTATCATTAAATTATCATATTTGATTTCCTAATATATAAAAATTGTAAAGAATATACCATAAATAAATAGTTTAGATATAGTAATTAGTTGAGAAAATATATAATTTAGATTTTATTAGGTATTTTCGTTTTTTTAGTTTGCCATAATTTAAGGAAAGATCCGATTGAAGATTTCCGGGTCAAAATTTTTAAAAAACCCGACCCGATTAGAGGAGCAAATTTGTACTTCAAAAATGTTAAGTAGATTTGATCAGTTAAAACCAAGAGAATGATTTGTTTCTGATTGGTTTGGGGCTTTAATTTGATTCTGGTTAGTTGGGTTTAGGATAAAGTTCTCTGCCTGTAACAATAAAAAGTTACAAACAAAAGTTGGGAGAAAAACAAAACTCGACCAGATATATTAAGAGCCTGCCCTGATGAAGCCCAATGTAAAGCATGCAGAAGAGTTAAACAAAAGGGAAAACAAAACTCTCTTTTTATAAAAGAAGAACCAAAAAACACAAGTCTCAGCTTTTTTTCAAACACAGTGACTTGTTCTTCAATCATTTTTTTTTCATGGAAGAGTTCATTTCCAAGATTACCTGGTCCGAATCACGACCAGAATAACATGAAGAAATCATAAATAACATTAAACGACTGGATTTTTAAACAGAAAATATAAATATACCTCTAGTTTATAGAACTTAATTTAGAACGAAGACATCACATCAGTAAAAGAAAATGAACAACTGAATTTGAGCTGCAAAAAAGAGTTAAAAGGTGATTTGTTATTTTAACCCCAAAAAAAAAGTAATGACACCATCAGTCTTTAACAAGTCGCAGCTCATTTTCAATGGATAACAAGTCTTGCATGCTTCATAATTTTGACATCCGAAAGCTTTAAAACTTTATTTGAATGAAATCATTTTCAATTGATCTATCTTTATTTTTAACTAGATTAAACACACGGGTTAATCAAAAAATCTTTCTTAAAGCTATAATAACTTTTTTTTGCAATTTTATACAAATATAATGTTGAATTTTAATTGAACCAACTATGAATCTTATTATATGTATGAGTTTAAAATCTCAAAATATATTGTTTAAGATTCCCTAACAATAATTATTTTTACCTTTTTATCGAAAAAAACTGGAAACACTACTAATGAAGTTTGAACCATGGTCATGAGGTTCAATAGATGACATTGACTGATCCAGCTACTATTTCGCTTATAATAAAATTGTTTGTTTTACTATGACAGTTAAAGACTTAAAGTTATATGAGTTGGTAATTAAAAGGTTTCAGAATATAAAAGTATTCTAAAAAAATTAGGGAGATTGACACAAATAGCCCCAAAAAAGTTGTTTTTTTCCAAAAATAGCACCTCATTTGAAAAGTTCCACAAATAGCACCATAAACTTCAATTTAACTTAATGAAAATATAAGATAGAAAATAAAAAAGAGAGCAAACACTAATCTAATATTAAATTGAATAAAAATTGTTTTTAAATATTTGAAATATATACCCTAATTTGGAAATAGGGAACCCAAATATAATACTACAAACTAATATTAAAATAAAAATTTCTTTTAAATGGTGGAAATATATACCCTAAATTGGAAATAGAGAACCCAAATATAATACCATAAACTAATATTAAAATGAATCAAAATCTCTTTTAAATGGTGGAAATATATACCCTAAATTGGAAATAGAGAACCCAAATATAATATTTTAAATTTATTTCTAATTTATTTTGTTGAATAGCTTTTATATAAAAATTGTGGTATTATTGAAAAAAAAACTAGTGATAAAATTTTTAGATCAAAAACACTAATAATAAGTTAACTAGTGCTATTTTTGGAAGTTTATGGAGTGTGTGCTATTATTGTCAATAAAACTTGTTTTAGGGCTATTTTTAGGAATTTCTCAAAAAATTATAACTTAATTAAAGAAAAGTTAAAAATTTTGTAGGAAAATTTTAGAACAAAAATATATTGATGCAAATATCACTCACAAAATATTTTAATATAAAATATCCATGAATAGTAACAAATTTTGTAATATGGACCGGAAATGGTTTCTTTTAGATATGTTTAAAATAACACAAATTAAAAAAATATATAAGAAAAACTGAAGGTATTATAATACAAAGACTATATTTAGTTAGTTTAATGTGCTAACTCTTATCTTAATTTATCTAATACAATTATTTTGATAAAAAGTTTACTATAATTGTTTTTTTACTAAAGTACTATCATATTTATATATGAGATAGAACTTGGATATAAGTAACAACTAACAAAAACAAAATCTATAAATATTATTAATATATTCTTAAAATTAAGAGATGCTATATTAGAAACTAATATTATATTTTAGTGAAAATCTATTTAAAATTTAAAGTAAACTATATATTAGATATAATATAAGTGGTGCTTAAGTCTATATTAATTAATTTTATAATATTACTAAAAACATTAATTAACACATAATCATTGTAATATTTATTATGAATATTGAATAATCATACTTTAGAAACTTCACTTAAAATTTTATTTATAATTAAATAACAAAATTTCTATATATAAAAATAATATATTTTTATTACAAATTCATGCTTTACCATAAAAGTAAATATATGATAGAAAGTTTAATTTTCCAAATCTAAATCAACAGGTTTTTATATTTTTGTTCTCTTAACAGATTATTATATGATAAATTTGTCCTAATTCGACGATGCACCATACCCTAGTTCTATCTTGATTAGAAACTAGGCATCTTATATTTTATATATATATTACCAAAACAAAAATTAAAAGGAAGAACCAAAAATTTAGCACATAAGAAATCGTAGAGCCCTCTCTCTCGAAGACGAAGAAAAACCAAAAGATGGATTTGCAAGAAGCGATGAAGAAGCAAAACGACGTTGCTCTGTTCCTTGCCGGGAAAGTAATCTCTACCGTAGACAAAAACTCTAACTTCGTCTTCTCTCCTGCATCTATCAACTCCGTTCTCACTATGGCCGCTGCTACATCCGACAATGAAACACTAAAATCCTGCATCCTCTCCTTTCTTAGGTCTTCTTCCACTGACGAGCTCAACGACATCTTCCGCCAAATAGCTTCCGTCGTCCTCGTCGACGGAAGCAAAATAGGTGGCCCCAAAATCACGGTGGCTAATGGAGTGTGGAGAGAGCAATCACTTCCGTGTAGCCCCGAGTCGAAAGATCTCTTTGAGAATTTCTACAAGGCTGCTTTCGCTCAAGTTGATTTCCGATCCAAGGTTTGTTTCTGATTTTTCTGGTTTTAATTTCTGCAGAAATATATCTTTTAGGTTTCGAATTTGTTTTGATCAAATTAGGGCAAGAGCTTGTCTGAAACGAGTGCTTAATTATGGTTACATATCTTATTCAATGCTTACTATCTTTGCTTTGGTTGTGGTTTTGTAATTATGGTTGTTTTGTTTTGAAGTCTGAAGAAGTGCGTGAGGAGGTGAATTCTTGGGCATTACGTCACACCAATGGTCTCATCAAAGATCTTCTTCCTCTTGGATCCGTTACAAGCGAAACCCTCTGGATTTATGGAAACGCATTGTACTTCAAAGGAGCCTGGGAAGACAAATTCGATAAGTCAATGACGAAACACAGACCTTTCTACCTTGTCAATGGCAAACAGGTACATGTGCCTTTCATGACAAGCTATGAAAGACAATATATTAGGGCTTACAATGGTTTCAAGGTCCTTAGACTACCATACCGACAAGGGGATAATGATACAAGTCGCCAATTCTCAATGTGTATCTATCTCCCGGACAAAAAAGATGGATTGGATAACCTTGTGGAGAAAATGACATGTACTGATGGATTCTTGGACAGTCACATTCCGAGTTGGAGAGTTAGCGTTGGTCAATTCAGAATTCCAAAGTTTAAGATTGAATTCGGTTTTGAAGCTTCAAGCGCTTTCAATGACTTTGCGCTTGATGTGTCATTATACCAAAAAGCTATGATTGAGATCGATGAAGAAGGTACTGAAGCTGCGGCTGCTACTGCTCTAGCTTGTGCTAGTGGCTGCAGCGCTTATATGCCTCCTCCTCCGATAGATTTTGTGGCAGATCATCCATTTTTTTTCTTGATTAGAGAAGACAAAACCGGAACTGTTTTGTTCGCTGGTCAAATCTTCGATCCAGCCTTTGGTAGCTCTGGAGGTGATTTTAGTGAATCAAGCCCTCCTGCGTTAGGGGCATCTAACACTCCTGCCTTTGGGGCATCAAGTACCCCATCTTTTGATTTTGGCTTTTCCCAAGCTTTTGGACAGTCTACCCCAACATTTGGTAGCAGTTTCTTTGGTTCTACACAATCTCCCTTTGGATCCCAAGGTTCTCTAGCTAGTCCTATTCAATTACAGATTAGAAGTGAAAGTTCCCACCCATTAATAAATGGTAACTAATTATGTTGACATGATTTGTTTTACAGGTGATCATCAGGCTTGGACCAGATTATATGGGTGGGGTAGTAGGGTCATGCCTTATGCACCTACAACTGAGGCAGAGTGGCCATGGAGCTTTGGTAACCAGCCTGATGAAGGGAGGCTACAATCTATATATGCCATGCATGCATACCAAGCAAAAAACCAGGAGGAGCTTAGGTGGGAGGACTACCAGCGAGGAGATAAAGGTTATATCCCAAACAAATCCATGTTATGTTATGCGTTCGTCTTAAGGTTAGATGTTTTGTACTTTAATTACGAAAAGATTGATTCTCTTGTTGTTCAATTTTCAGGTGGACAACTTCCTGCTGGGGATGCTGGATTTGGTACATATTCTCAGCCAAGTATATTCTCAACAGCCACAAACTCTTTTTCCCCGTCGTTTGGTCAACACACTAGCCCATCTATGTTTGGGTCAGCTGCATCAAATACCACATACGTTTTTGGATCATCCCCTAGTTTTGCAACAAACACATGGCAGCCATTTGATTCAGCTCTTGCACATGGTTTAACTCCAGCATTTAGCATTGGTGGTGATATTAACAACAGTCAGTCATCTCCGTTGTTTGGTTCAAGCCCCCCATTTGGAAACAATACCACTCCTGCATTCGGACAGAATACTTCTGTGTTTGGACAGAATAACACTCCTGCACTTGGACAGAGTAACATTTTCAATTCACCTTCCACTGGCTTCGCTAACCTGTCTTCAACCTCTGAAAGTGAAAGAGTAACTCAAAAGCCAGGACTCTGAAGTGAAAGAGTAACTCAAAAGGCAGTGTTGAAAAATGCCAGTTCACTTCATAGTTGATGTCTCTTTCACTTTTGAGTTATGTTGGGATTTCTAATATTGGTTTATAAGTCATGTATGTCTTCTTCTGCTTAGGACCGTCCTTGACTGGATCAGAGTTTGAAATTTTAAATATTTGCTTCTTCATGTAATTTTAGATTTTTGTTGTGGTTTTGCTAAATTATATTTGATTAGAACCTGCGAGATTGATTTGAATTTGATTCTAATTAGTTAGGTTTAGGAAAATGTTCACTGGATATTTTAACCTAACTAGATTGGTAGTGGTCTGGTTAATGATGATGGCATAATTTCAATTGATATTTAATTTTTCTCAAATTTTTAACTTACTTCAAAATTTTATTAGATATGTGATTTAATTTCTTTTTATAATGAGAAAAAAACAAGTGGCACAAATCAAGTTAAACATTTTCTCAGCTCCGTCCAAAAGGAAAAACACTTTAAACACTTTAACTGACGTACTTTGTCAAAATATATAATTCGAAAGGGAATTAATTAATATAAATCTTCACAAATTCTTCTCCTTTTTTTTTTCGTCAAAACAATTATATTATTGATCGGATAAATTAATCATTGTACAAGAGGTTTACAATCCAAAAAGTATTAGCAAAAAAAAGTATAATGTATGTAACCAAAACGAGCTAAAGTATGAGCAACTTTGTTACAACAACAATTGGTACAAAACGAACTTCCTCAAATATAGAAGCCCTGATATCGTGATAAGTTGTTGTGGTCTCATTGACGCTCGCATTGATCGCAATATCAGATACTTGTTTATTTACTTTCTATGATGTCACAAAAAAAAAGTTTATTTACTTTATATAGTATCAGATATATATCATGATTTCATATAATATCACATAAGCTAATCTAATAAAGTTGTTGACAAAAAAAAAAAAATAATAATATAATATCACTTAACATAATCTTATTTTTTTACATTATGATAAACACTCTTTTTTATATAGTACATGTATGAGGCATGTCATGATCATCTAGTTGATATAGATTATAATAATATATATATCATACACTTGTCAATGTTCAATTTTATATAATAAAATAAAATAACAAATTTTTTTTTGGTAAGATTTTAAATTCAAAATAACAAATTTTGTTTCAACTAAATTTACTTTCATTAAATATTTACTTTTCCATATGAGTAAAAAATGAACATTTACTTCCCGGAAAACGATATATACCTTTTTTATCAGTGGGAGTATCCAAATAATTAAAGAGAAATCTAAATTTTCCATTGTAAAATATTGTACTTTAATATTCTCCTAATGAAACCGTTCACTGTATATAAAAACACATCTATGGACCATAATCCACCCTTTTGCAAGCTATGAAGAGATCAAAGATGAGTGTGAGAAAAGCTATGAAGAAGCAAAACGACGTCGCGATGAACCTTGCGAGGCACGTCTTATCTTCTGCGTCTGAATCTAACGCCGTCTTCTCGCCGGCGTCAATAAACTCTGCGATCACCATGTACGCCGCTGGTCCCGGAGGGGATTCAGTCGCCAGTGAAATCCTCTCCTTCCTCAGATCTTCTTCAATCGATGAGCTCAAAACCGTCTTCCGAGAACTATCCTCCATCGTCTACGCCTACAGCAGCGCTAGTGGCGGCCCAAAGATGAAGGCGGCGAATGGCCTCTGGATTGATAAATCACTTCGGATTGATCCCAAGTACAAGGATCTCTTCGAGAACTTCTTCAAGGCTGTTTACGTTCCAGTAGATTTCCGATCAAAGGTAATTTTTCACTTCAATCTCTCTTTAATCAGTAAAAAAAAAACTAGGGTTTCGTAGAAATATATAATTAGGGTTTCGCAGAAACGTGATTAGATTTTTCTAGATGAAGTGTGAGAGCTGTTTGAATTGGAATAACATACATAACGAGTCAAATTGGATACCGAATCATTCGTAATTCATACTGTTTTCAAAAATCATCCAATATGTGTTGAAAATTTTGAATCTACCAAAATATACACCGAGTCAAATTGATCATGTTTCGTATTGCTTCGAATTGTAGCAAAAACATAAAATTGCTGATATAGCTTTTTGGTGATAAATGGTTTTTTTTTTTTTTTTGCAGTCTGAAGAAGTGCGTAAGGAGGTGAATTCATGGGTCGAACATCACACCAATAATCTCATCAGAAATCTTCTTCCTCGTGAATCCGTGACAAGCCTAACGGACAAGATTTACGCAAACGCATTGTATTTCAAGGGAGCTTGGGAAAGACCATTTCAAAAGTACTGTACAAGAGACAGAGACTTCCACCTTGTCAATGGCACTACAGTCTCTGTACCATTCATGACAAGCTCCGCGGACCAATATGTAAGAGCTTATAACGGTTTCAAGGTCCTCAGGCTCCCTTACCGACAAGGCAGTGATGACACCAACCGCGAATTCTCAATGTATTTCTATCTCCCGGACCAAAAAGATGGATTGGATGATCTCTTGAAGAAAATGGCATCTACTCCTGGATTCTTGGATAGTCACATTCCGGGATACAAAGATGAACTTGAGGAATTTAGAATTCCAAAGTTTAAGATCGAATTCGGTTTTTCTGTTACAAGCGTTTTGGATCGACTGGGACTGCGTTCAATGTCAATGTACCATAAAGCTTGTGTCGAGATCGATGAAGAAGGTGCTGAAGCTGCGGCTGCAACTGCTATTGTAGAAGAAGATGGTTGTGCTCTTGATATGGAGCCGCCTCCTAAGAAGTTAGATTTTGTGGCTGATCATCCATTTATTTTCCTTATCCGAGAAGACAAAACCGGGACCGTTTTGTTCGTTGGTCAGCTCTTCGAACCTTCGGAATCTTGTTCGGACTAGTATTAACCTCGTTATGGTTTAGTGGAATGGTTTTGGCAAAGTTATCACAGGTTCTGCGTAACTATATTTCAGTTGAAACCGAGATTGTTCAAAATTAAATTGGTTCTGGCTAGTTCTGTTAGTAAACTTCAGTATCTCTGTTTTTTTTTTTCTATTCAATTCGTTCGTTTTGATTTTCGATTATAATTCGAATTAATCGTCTTTTGATAATTTTTCTACTTTTGGTTGTTGGTAATATTGAAGTTAAACTTGATTTTGGTTTAAGCTTAATTATGGGTTTATAATTCAATATTCTATATTGGACAAAACCCAAAGTTAAGCCTAAGTTCTAGATTTCTCTAGAGCATCATAGAAAAATCATCACCTCCTTAAAATGTTCTAGAGAATTCTATTAGATAGATATTTAGAAAATTATGTAGAATAATCTAGAAATTTGTAAGATAAAATCTAGATATTTTAGTAGAGTTATAGAGATGATGGTAGAATAATCTAGAGACTTTGTAAGCTAACTTTGGAGGCTATAAATACCTCCTCACCCCCCTCATTTGTAATCAAGTTGAACAAGTGAATAAAAAGAAAGTTCAAATAAAAGAACACTCTTTAAAGTTCTCTAAGTCTCTCCAAAAGTCTTTCAAGTAATCTCTAATTGTTCTTCCAAATTTTCTATCATACTTAGAAGGTTTCTTATCTTGGTTATATCGAGTTTCTCGGGTATTACGGTCTTGGGCTAGTGCTAAGCACTATCGATTTTGGTTTCTTTACATGGTATCAGAGCCATTCTAATCTTGAGCTCATCAAGATCGGGGTTATAGAGAACTCGGGTTTACTCTAAGTATGGAATCTACGGGTCGCGTTGTTGGATTGGGAATGGAGATCTTAAACCAATCTAACTACCGGTTATGGAAGTCATGTATGGAGTCATACTTGGTTAGTGAAGACTTATGGGATATCGTCGGCGGAAGTAGTACTTCACCACCTACCGGAGATGCTGCAACCGCGGAAGCGACGAAGGAGTGGACACGTAAAAATGCCAAGGCGGAGTTTGCTTTAAAGAGGTCAATATCCTCAGGAGTTTTTGAGCATGTCTCAAGGTGCACATCCGCTAGTTCAATGTGGCAAGCATTAGATCGATTGTTCAACAAGAAAAACGAAGCTCGTCTACAATTGTTAGAAAACGAGTTGGCGAATGCGAAGCAGGGGGAGTCTTCAATTTCAGAGTTTTTCATCAAGGTAAAGAACCTTTGCTCTGAGATCAATAGTCTTAATCCGGAGGAATCAATCTCGGATGCTCGGTTGAAGCGGTTTATTATTCGAGGTCTACGACCCGAGTATACACCGTTTGTTACTTCGGTTCAAGGATGGGCTACACAACCTTCCTTGGAGGAATTTGAAAATTTGCTCGCTTCGCAAGAATCACTAGCGGTACAAATGGCGGGAGTCAAAATTCATGATGACTCAGGGAGCGCCTTTGTAGCTAGGAGGCAACAAAACTTCAAAGCCAAATCCAATGATGGTGGTCCAAGAAACAATGATGGACATGAAGGATCTTCTAAGGGAGATAAGAAAAAATTTAAGTGCTATCGGTGTGGAAAACTTGGGCATTTTAAAAAGGATTGCCGAGTCAAGCTGAAGGAAACAAACATGGCGGAATCAAAAGATCATAATGAAGACGAAGAATGGGGAAAATGTTTTACGGTGGAGGCTGCATCTTCAAGTACATCTACACCTAAGAAGGTGGAAAATAATTGGATCGTAGATTCGGGTTGTAGCCATCATATCACCGGAGACGAGAAATTATTTTCTAGTCTTCAACGCCATGATGGAAAAGAAGCAATCATTACCGCGGATAATTCAATCCATCACGTTGAGAAAGAAGGAACGGTGGTCATCAAAGGAGATGATGGAAGCCCAATCACTCTCGAGAACGTTTACCATGTTCCTGGAGTAAAAAAGAATCTTCTCTCCGTGGTAAATGCGGTGGACTCAGGTAACTATGTTTTATTTGGCCCAAGGGATGTTAAATTCTTAAAAAATATCCAAGAGTTAAAGGCGGACGTGGTTCACACTGGAGCACGGGTGAAAGATTTATACGTTTTATCAGCGTCAAACTCTTATGTGGAGAAGATGAGCACCAACGATAATGTCTTTATATGGCATGCTAGGCTTGGTCACATAAATATGACTAAGCTCAAGGTTATGGTGAATAAAGATTTGGTGAACGGGCTCCCAAAGTTGAAGATCCAAGATGAAGGCACAATTTGTGAAGGATGTCTATATGGAAAGTCTCATAGGCTTCCATTTGACTATTCCACTTCAAGGTGCAGTTTTCCGTTGGAGAGGGTTCACAGTGACTTGATGGGCCCGACAAGAACACCCTCATATTCCGGGTATCACTACATGTTGTTGTTCGTTGATGACTTCTCACGGTACACTTGGGTATACTTTGTGAAGGAAAAATCTGAAGTATTCTCCAAGTTTCTAGAATTCAAGGTTACCGTGGAAGGGGAGTTAGGTCAGAAGATCAAGACTTTTAGGACGGATAATGGAGGGGAGTTCATGTCTAAGGAGTTTCTCTCTTTTTGTCGAGATAATGGTATCAAGAGAGAATTTACATGTCCGCATACACCTCAGCAAAATGGAGTAGCAGAGAGGAAGATCAGACATCTAAGTGAGACGTGTAGAAGTTGGCTCCATGGCAAAGATTTGCCTAAGGCGTTATGGGCGGAAGGCATGAGATGTGCTGCCTATGTCATCAACCGGATGCCACTTAGTCCAAATAATATGAAGTCTCCTTATGAGATGGTTCACGGGAAGAAGCCAACAGTGAAACATCTTAGGATATTTGGATCAGTCTGCTACGTCCATGTGTTTGATTCACAAAGAACTAAGTTGGAGGCAAAGGCGAAGAAATGCATATTTGTTGGCTACGATGAACAAAGGAAGGGTTGGAGGTGTATGGATCCTGAGACACACAAGTATGTTGTGTCTCGTGATGTTGTCTTTGATGAAGTTTCTTCATACTACGGGCCACCTCAAGTCTTGGTTGAAAAAGATGGTGCGAGTTCCTCCAAGATCGATGAATCAACTCTCCAAGTACTATGTGAGAGTGGAAGTCCTGAAAATAAAATTCAAGGTGAAAGGGGGAGCACTAACCAAGAAGAAGAAGAGGAACAAGATCATGGCTCGATGGTCAATCAACGGCCGAAAAGAAACATTGTCAAGCCTGCAAGATATAGAGATGAAGAATTCATCACTACTTATTCATGCTTCTTCGCAGCTCCTTTAGATGATGATGAGCCATCTTCTTATGATGAAGCTAAAGGAGTTCAAGAATGGGATGCTTCAATGAAGGAAGAGATGAGTGCTCTCAAGAAAAATGAAACTTGGGATCTAGTTCCAAAACCCAAGGATGTTGAGCCCGTTTCTTGCAAATGGGTGTATCGAATTAAGCGAAAAGCGGATGGGAGCATTGATAGGTTTAAAGCAAGGTTGGTTGCTCGGGGCTTCTCTCAAAAGTATGGAGAAGATTATGATGAGACATTCAGTCCAGTGGCGAAGATGACTACGGTACGCTCACTCTTATCCTTAGCAGCAAGCTTTGGTTGGAAGTTATGGCAACTTGATGTGAAGAATGCCTTTCTATATGGTGAGCTTGATAAAAGTATCTTCATGGAGCAACCACCTGGTTTCGAATCACGAGAGCATCCTGATCATGTGTGCAAGCTGAAAAAGGCCTTGTACGGATTAAAACAAGCTCCACGAGCTTGGTATGGAAAGGTTGCTCAGTTCCTTCAATTTTGCGGCTATGAGGCATCAAATTCTGACCCGAGTCTATTCTTCAAGAAGAAAGGAGGAGTCCACGTAGTAGTTCTTCTTTACGTGGATGATATGATAATTACCGGGAATGATGATGCAGAAATTGCTCGCTTACAAGAAGACATGTCGATAAGGTTTGAGATGAAAAAGTTAGGTGAGCTGAATAACTTTCTTGGGCTAGAGGTTGAAAGAGTAAAGGATGGAATATTCGTTGGTCAACAAGGTTATGCAAGAAAGATTGTTGAGAAGTTCGGAGTGCACGAAGGAAAGACTCGCACTACTCCGATGGATGTGAACATCAAGCTCCAACGTGATGAAGGTTCATTGTTACCTGATCCTCGACCTTATCGTGCTCTTGTGGGAAGTCTTCTATACTTAACCATTACAAGACCTGATATTGCCTTCGCAGTAGGTCTTGTAAGTCGGTTTATGCAAGCACCAAGGAAGCCACACTTAGAAGCGGCAAAGAAGATCTTGAAGTATGTCAAGACAACTCTTGGCATGGGCTTGGTGTATAAGTACAATGCAAAGATTTCCCTTCATGGTTTTACAGATGCTGACTTTGGTGGAGATCTAGATGACCGAAAATCAACTTCGGGCTATGTGTTCTTATGTGGAGACACAAGCATTTCGTGGTGTAGCAAGAAACAACCAACGGTGTCGCTATCTACCACTGAAGCGGAGTATAAAGCTTCCACAGTCGCTGCTCAAGAGTGTATATGGCTTCGAAGACTCTTTGAAGATTTGTTCGAGCCTATAAATAAACCGGTGGCTATCTACGGAGATAATCAAAGTGCTATCAAGTTAGCTAACAATCCGGTGTTTCATGCAAGGACAAAGCATATTGAGTTAGAACATCACTTCATAAGGGAGAAGGTTCTTGATGGAACAATTGAAGCCTTGGAAGTTCGAAGTGAGGACAACGTTGCGGACATCTTCACCAAGTCATTACCAAAAGGCCAATTCGAGTTACTTCGCTCGAAGCTCGGGATGGTTGACAAAATCAAGTTTAAGGGGGAGTATTGAAGTTAAACTTGATTTTGGTTTAAGCTTAATTATGGGTTTATAATTCAATATTCTATATTGGACAAAACCCAAAGTTAAGCCTAAGTTCTAGATTTCTCTAGAGCATCATAGAAAAATCATCACCTCCTTAAAATGTTCTAGAGAATTCTATTAGATAGATATTTAGAAAATTATGTAGAATAATCTAGAAATTTGTAAGATAAAATCTAGATATTTTAGTAGAGTTATAGAGATGATGGTAGAATAATCTAGAGACTTTGTAAGCTAACTTTGGAGGCTATAAATACCTCCTCACCCCCCTCATTTGTAATCAAGTTGAACAAGTGAATAAAAAGAAAGTTCAAATAAAAGAACACTCTTTAAAGTTCTCTAAGTCTCTCCAAAAGTCTTTCAAGTAATCTCTAATTGTTCTTCCAAATTTTCTATCATACTTAGAAGGTTTCTTATCTTGGTTATATCGAGTTTCTCGGGTATTACGGTCTTGGGCTAGTGCTAAGCACTATCGATTTTGGTTTCTTTACAGGTAAATGTTATATATTTTTTTTAAAAAATCAATAAGTTGATAACGAAAATAAACATTATCTTGATTATTTAGCTTTGATAGACAATTTGATTCAGTTTTACGATTCAATTTGAAGAGAAGCTTTATTCACGAGTCCTATATAACAAGAAAATATATGAATGGACAAATAGTAAAAATTATATTTTTTATTTCCAATTTTTCTAGGTTTATTTTCCAGATTGACGTTTCACATTTATTAGGCAATTCTCTAAAATACCATATTTTTTGGTTTCACAAATATCATCTTTAGTTTTTTGGTCTTCTAAAAGACAAAAGTAAAACTCAATACGACGGTGCACCGAACCTAGTTCTATATAAATACCCACATGTATGTGAGTACATGCTCAGAAGAAAGCTTAAAAGATGGGTTCAAAAAGGAAAAACCAAAAACTTATCACATCAGAAATTGCAGAGCCGTCTCTATCAAAGGCCAAGAAAAAGCCAAAAATAGATTTGCAAGAATCGATGAAGAAGCAAAACGATGTTGCTCTATTCCTTGCGGGGAAAGTAATCTCTGTCGCAACCAAAAATTCTAACTTCGTCTTCTCTCCTGCATCTATCAACGCCGTACTCACCATGGCCGCTACTACCTCTGACGATGAAACACTAAGATCCTTCATCCTCTCCTTTCTTAGGTCTTCTTCCATTGACGAGCTCAAAGCCATCTTCCGCGAAATTGCTTCCGTCGTCCTTATGGACGGAAGCAAAAGAGGTGGGCCAAAAATCGCGGTAGCTAATGGAGTGTGGATAGAGCAATCACTTTCGAGTAGTCCTGAATTTAAGGATCTCTTTGAGAATTTCTTCAAGGCTGATTTTGCTCAAGTTGATTTCCGATCCAAGGTTTGTTTCTGATTTCTCTAATTTTTTTGCAGAAATATATCTTTTAGGTTTCGAATTTGCTTTAATTTTATTAGGTCAAGAGCTGTTTGAAAATATACAACAGAGTGCTTAGAGAAACTACATATCTCATTCAATGTTTTCGAATTTGCTTCTAATCCATATTTGTGATCTTTGGTTCGGGTTTTTGTTGTTTTGAAGGCCGGAGAAGTGCGTATGGAGGTGAATTCTTGGGCTTCACGTCACACCAATGGTCTCATCAAAAATCTTCTACCTCCTGGATCTGTTACAAGAAAAACAACTAAAATTTACGGTAACGCATTGTACTTCAAGGGAGCCTGGGAAAACAAATTCGATAAGTCAATGACGATACGCAAACCTTTCTACCTTGTCGATGGCAAACAAGTACATGTGCCTTTCATGAAAAGCTATCAAAGACAATATATTAAGGCTTACAATGGTTTTAAGGTCCTTAGACTACCATACGGACAAGGAGATAATGAACAAGTCGCCAATTCTCAATGTGTTTCTATCTCCCGGACAAGAAAGATGGATTGGATAAGCTTGTGGAGAAAATGACATCTACTGATGGATTCTTGGACAGTCACATTCCGAGATGGAGAGATAGAGTTGGTGAATTCAGAATTCCAAAGTTTAAGATTGAATTTGGGTTTGAAGCTTCAAGCGTTTTTAATGACTTTGCGCTTGACATGTACCATAAAGCTTTGATTGAGATCGATGAAGAAGGTGCAGAAGCTGCGGCTGCTACTGCTTTAGCTTCCAAATCTCGCTGCAGCGCTTTTGTGCCTCCTCCTCCCATAGATTTTGTGGCAGATCATCCATCCTATACTATTATTTGGGGAGTACACTTTATAAGATACCCTTAACTAACCTTCCCTTTTGTAAGAATTTACTTAAGAATGCCATTACAAAAATCTTCTTTTAGAACAAATTTCATTCAATTTATTAAGGATAAACAAGTAAAATACTAATTTATGTCATTTAATTAATTAAATTAAATTATAAAACGAAAATCTGTTATTATTATTTTTTTTAAATGACCAATCAAAATGAACATATAAGATTTGATATCTAACTTACCATATTAATTTATTATTAATCATTAAACTTCACCTCTTATCTTTATATGATTATATTAATATGAAACAAATAAATCATCATATCATCTACATAATAAAAAAAAAGTAAATTTTTTTCGGCATATGCCAAGATTTGAATTTTTAAAAACGCATATAAATTGTTCAATCTATAAAGGAAACAATTAAACGGGTCAAAAATTCAGACTTGAGTAATATATTTTTTTTACACAAAAATAAAGTCAACAAAAATTCTGACTGAGCAACGGGTCAGAATTTGAATATTTATATTTGATTTCATACATTTATTTTTTTGAAATGTATAATTTTATATACTACAATAAAAATTTAAATATTTTAATTTGCAACATTTAAAATAAGTTTTACTTGATATTTTTAGAGAATATCATCAATACTTAATAGTTCAAAAAGTTAAAAATTATAAATACTCTAATTTGATTATTTTTAAAAATATTTATTATAGGTAGCGGGTTAAATATAATATATTATATGATGAAATGAGTTTTGATCCTTATAACTATTTGAATAGTTATATTTAATTTCATATAATTTGTTTTTTGAAATTCATAATTTTATAAACTACAAAAAAATTTAAAGATTTTAATTTGGAATATTTAAAAATAGTGTAGAACATTTAAATATGGTTTGACACCTCTAAATATTTGAAAATTTGATTCCGCAAGCAATTTTAGAATTAACGAATAATAGATTGTGCACGCAATATTTTAAAATGAAATATATACTAAATATATGTTTAATTATAACATATTAGATTATGCGAATAATTGGTAAATTCCGTAATTATAAATCTCAAACAAATTCTGTAATTAGATTAGCTCAAACAAATCTCTATTTCAACAACCAAAGAATTATGAATTGAAAAAGAATTTTCTAAATTAATTCAAAATAATACCTAATTTTCTTAATTAATTCAAAATAATCTATGTTTTATATGCGATTTATTTATGATATTTTAATTTTTGATCTAACTGAAATATATGCAATCCTATTTTGTGGTTTTTAACATAAATTAACTCATTGTTCAAAAAATATTACTTTTTAAAAAATAAAATTATTTTCCGTTTTCATATCTTAAAAAAAAAATTATCCATAATTGAGTATTATAGAAAAAATTCTATATTTATTCTAATATTGTATATAGGGATTGACAAAAAAATTAATATTTTTTCACTTACTATTATAATATATTAAAACTTAGTTCTAATATATATATTATATAAAATTTGTAATAAATAAAATTCAACCCGTACTTTAGTACGGGTGATGATCTAGTTTCTTTTCTGTATTAGAGAAGACAAAACCGGAACTGTTTTGTTCGTTGGACAAATCTTCGATACATCCGTATCTTCTTCTGCTTAGGACCAGCCTTAACCGGATCAGAGTTTGAGATTTTAAGATTTGGTTTTTCATATAATTTTTGTGATTTTTTTTTTTTTTGGTTCTGCTAAATTATATTTGATAAGAACCGCAAGATATTGATTTGTCTATGGCTGGTTTGGGGGTTTCAGTTTGATTTTGGTTAGTTGGGTACTTGGATTTAAACCTAACTAGATTGGTGGTGATGATGGCATTTTTCTCAAATTTTCTCATATTTCAATATATTATTGACATATATTATTTAAAAGGTGATTTGTTATTTTTGACACCAAAAAGTAAGTTTCTTAATTATATAAAAATTCAGCTCAACTCAATTAAGAATCAAATAACATCTCTTTGAGTATTTCAAACACTTGGTGGTTCATCTTTATATATAATAAAATAACTAAAATTTACTTTCATTGAATTATTTTTTATTTTTTTCCCATTTGAAAAAAAAATAAGAAAAGAATTCTAGATCTATAAGTTTTGAAATTTGAATTTTTCTATGTAAACTCTTTTCCTCCTAAAATAATTTTTAATTAATGTGTGGTTAGAAAAAAAGAAAGAGAAATATATTAACTCATTTAATTTGAATCTGTATACCAAAAATATAGTTAAATTTGTTTCAACTTTAAATTTACTTTAATTGAATTTTTTTAGTTTTACTTTTTCATTTGGAAAGAAAAAGAAAAGAAGAAATATTAACTCTTTATACCAGTAGGTGTATAGAAATTAGAAACGTATCCAAGTTAAACCATTCTGGATTAATTAGAAAGAAATCTACATTTTAAATTATTATCATTTGTTTTGGTCAACTAAATCTACATTGTAATAATAATTAGAAGTTTCCTATATATATGCTCAGAAGTCAGAATAAAAATTAAAAGGAAGAACCAAAAACTTAGCACATAAGAAATCGTAGAGCCCTCTCTCTCAAAGACGAAGAAAAACCAAAAGATGGATTTGCAAGAAGCGATGAAGAAGCAAAACGACGTTGCTCTGTTCCTTGCGGGGAAAGTAATCTCCACCGTAGACAAAAACTCTAACTTCGTCTTCTCTCCTGCATCTATCAACTCCGTTCTCACTATGGCCGCTGCTACTTCCGACAATGAAACACTAAAATCCTGCATCCTCTCCTTTCTTAGGTCTTCTTCCACTGACGAGCTCAACGACATCTTCCGCCAAATCGCTTCCGTCGTACTCGTCGATGGAAGCGAAAGAGGTGGCCCCAAAATTGCTGCGGTTAATGGAGTGTGGATAGAGCAATCACTTTCGTGTAGTCCCGTGTCGAAAGATCTCTTTGAGAATTTCTTCAAGGCTGATTTTGCTCAAGTTGATTTCCGATCCAAGGTTTGTTTCTGATTTCTCAAAATATTTTGCAGAAATATATCTTTTAGGTTTTGAATTTGCTTTTCATTAGACTAGGTCAAGAGCTTGTGTGAAACGAGTGCTTAAATTTAAAAACTACATATCTTATTCAATGTTTACTATCTTTGGTTTGGTTTGGTTGTGGTTTTGTAATTATGGTTGTTGTTGTTTTGAAGTCTGAAGAAGTGCGTGAGGAGGTTAATTCTTGGGCATTACGTCACACCAATGGTCTCATCAAAGATCTTCTTCCTCCTGGATCCGTTACAAGCCAAACCCTCTGGATTTATGGAAACGCACTGTACTTCAAAGGAGCCTGGGAAGACAAATTCGATAAGTCAATGACAAAACACAAACCTTTCTACCTTGTCAATGGCAAACAAGTACATGTGCCTTTCATGACAAACTATAAAAGACAATATATTGAGGCTTACAATGGTTTCAAGGTCCTTAGACTACCATACCGACAAGGGGATAATGATACAAGTCGCCAATTCTCAATGTGTATCTATCTCCCGGACGAGAAAGATGGATTGGATAACCTTGTGGAGAAAATGACATGTACTGATGGATTCTTGGACAATCACATTCCGAGTTGGAGAGTTAGAGTTGGTGAATTCAGAATTCCAATGTTTAAGATTGAATTCGGCTTTGAAGCTTCAAGCGTTTTCAATGACTTTGCGCTTGATGTGTCATTACACCAAAAAGCTATGATTGAGATCGATGAAGAAGGTACTGAAGCTGCGGCTGCTACTGCTCTAGTTGGTGCTGCTGGCTGCAGCCTTTATAAGCCTCCTCCTCCGATTGATTTTGTGGCAGATCATCCCTTTTTTTTCTCGATTAGAGAAGACAAAACCGGAACTGTTTTGTTCGCTGGTCAAATTTTCGATCCTTCCGTATCTTCTTTTGCTTAGGATCAGCCTTAACCGGATCAGAGTTTGGGATTTTAAGATTTGTTAAGACCCGCGAAATATTGATTTGTCTATGGTTGGTTTGGGGGTTTCAGTTTGATTTTGGTTAGATGGGTACTTGGATTGGTGGTGATGATGGCATTATTTCAAATTTTTATTTATTTTTCTCAAATTTTCTCATATTATGGGATAAGTGATTTCCGTTTATTTTATAAAATAAGAAAAAACAATTAGCATATGTCAAATTTTATTCGAAAAATGCCTATCTTATTATATAATAAACACTTTATTTGACATATATTAATATTTGAAAGGTGAATTGTTATTTTTAACACCTAAAAGTAAGTTTCTTAATTATATAAAAATTGCAGCTCAACTCAATTAATCTCTATTTCTCTAGCTAGTACTAGTAGCTATATAGAATAAAAAAAAAGAATCAAATAACATCACTTTGACTATATCAAACACTTGGTGGTTCATCTTTATATAAGATAAAAATAATTAAATTTATTTCAACCTAAAATTTACTTCCATTGAATTTTTTTATTTTTCTTACATTTGAAAAAAATAAGAAAAGAATTCTAGATCTAAAATTTTGAAATTTCCTATGTAAACTCTTTTCTTCTTAAGATAATTTTTAGTTGATGCGTGGTTAGAAAAAAAAAGGAGAAATATATTAACTCTTTTAATTTGAATCTGTATATCAAAAATATAGTTAAATTTGTTTCAACTTTAAATTTACTTTCATTGACTTTTTTTAGTTTTACTTTTTCATTTGGAAAAAAAAAAGAAAGAAAGAAATATTAACTCTTTATACCAGTAGGGTGTATAGAAATTAGAAATGTATCCAAGTTAAACCATTCTGGATTAATTAGAAAGAAATCTACATTTTAAATTATTATTATTATTTGTTTTGGTCAACTAAATCTACATTGTAATAATAATTTGAAATTTCCTAAAAAAACTCAAACCGTTCCATATAAAAGCACATCCTCCCTGAGTCCTCTTTCTCTTTCGTTAATCGTTATAGATCAAAAAATGGATGTAAGAGCAGCTATGAAGAACCAAAACGACGTCGCGATGATCCTTTCCGGGCACTTCTTAACTTCCGCGCCGAAAGACTCTAACGTCATCTTCTCACCGGCGTCAATAAACTCTGCGATCACCATGCACGCCGCTGGTCCCGGCGGTGATGTAGTCTCCGGTCAAATCCTCTACTTACTCAGATCTTCTTCAATCGATGAGCTCAAAACCGTCTTCCGAGAACTAGCCACCGTCGTCTACGCCGACAGCAGCGGCAGCGGTGGCCCAAAGATAACGGCGGCGAATGGCCTCTGGATTGATAAATCACTTCCAACTGATCCCAAGTTCAAGGATCTCTTCGAGAACTTCTTCAAGGCTGTTTACGTTCCAGTAGATTTCCAATCAAAGGTAAATTTTCACTTTAATCTCTCTTTTATCAAGAAAAACAACAAAAATCTAGGGTTTGAGATTATGAGGCTGTCTTCAAATTCAAAATTAGACAAAACTGCGTGTGAGAAATTTTAATTTATAAAAATAGTTTTGAATAGTTGTGAGCAAAAATGAATTTGCTGATTGTATATACATAGCTTTTTGGTGATGAATGAATTGGTTTTTTTTTCTTAAGGCTGAAGAAGTGCGTATAGAGGTTAATTCATGGGTTGAACATCACACCAATAATCTCATCAAGAATCTTCTTCCTGATGGATCCGTGACAAGCCTAACCGACAAGATTTACGCAAACGCATTGTATTTCAAGGGAGCTTGGAAAAGACCATTTGAAAAGTACTATACAAAAGACAGAGACTTCCACCTTGTCAATGGCACTACAGTCTCTGTGCCATTCATGACCAGCTTTGAGAACCAATACGTAAGAGCTTATGACGGTTTCAAGGTCCTCAGGCTCCCTTACCGACGAGGCAGCGATGATACCAATCGTAAATTCTCAATGTATTTCTATCTTCCGGACAAGAAAGATGGATTGGATAATCTTGTGGAGAAAATGGTTTCTACTACTAGATTCTTGGATAGTCACATTCCGACATACAAAGATGAACTTGAGGAATTTAGAATTCCAAAGTTTAAGATCGAATTCGGTTTTTCTGTTACAAGCGTTTTGAATCGATTGGGACTGCGTTCAATGTCAATGTACCATAAAGCTTGTGTCGAGATTGATGAAGAAGGTGCTGAAGCTGCGGCTGCAACTGCTGATGAGGATCTAGGTTGTGCTCTTGAGTTCGAGGAGCCTCCTAAGAAGATAGATTTTGTGGCTGATCATCCATTTGTTTTCTTGATTCGAGAAGAAAAAACAGGAACCGTTTTGTTCGTTGGTCAAATCTTGAATCCTTCGGAATCTTGTTCGGGAGCAAATTCGGACTCAGATGACTATTAACCGGGTTATGGTTTGGTGGAATGGAAGATAAGTCTACTTAGGTTTGGTTAATGTCTTTTGGCAAAATCCACAGGATCTGTATAACTTTATTTCAGTTGAAACTTGAAACAGAGATTGTTCAAATTGGTTCTAGAATCTAGCTAGTGAATTTCTTTTCCATTCCATTCGGTTCGTTTCGTTTGATTCTTTTGAGTATAATTCAAGTTCATGGTTTTATGATAACTTTTTATATTTTTAGTTGTTGGCTAATGTTTCTACTATTCTATGTTCTTAATATTGAATCGTAAACTGAATCAAATTGTCTATCAAAACATTTGGAAATTTTTTTCCGGTTGACCTGCGTTTACTGTTTATTTTTTAAAAAGAAATTTACATATATAATTCATTAAAAATAGATTATGTTTATTTCAGTTTTTTTTTTTTTGATGAAAAGATTATTAAATATTTATTCTATTTCTCTGGTTTAAAATTCACTTTAATCTAATTTGCATGGAGTTGGTATGAGACAACCATTGTTGAACGGAGAGAACATCTTTGCGTTGCTTGCTTTTCACGGAAACTCTTTCCTTATGTTTTCTATATTTTTATTTTCCATAAAAAAACAAAAAACAAAGTAGCGTTATCTTGACTACATTATATTAAAAAAAAACATGTAGCATCATTTTGAAGCTTTTAAAGAGTAGCGTCATTGTGAAGTTCATACTTTTACTACAAATATACACGTGAGTGATGAGTCATCATTATTATCATCGTCACGAAGTTGCAAATCTATCTTATCGCTTTCGTTGCAAGTCAAAATCAGCCATGGACGTGAAAGAAGCTATGAAGAAGCAAAACGAAGTCGCGATGATTCTTTCATGGCATCTCTTCTCTACTGTAGCCAAACACTCCAACAGCGTTTTCTCGCCGGCGTCAATCAACGCAGCGCTCACCATGATGGCCTCTGGTCCCAGCAGTTCTTCGATCTCCGATCAAATCATCTCCTTCCTCAGATCTTCTTCCATCGATGAGCTCAACTCCGTCTTCCGCGTCATTAATTACTACCGTAGTCTTAGCTGACGGTAGTAATATAGGCGGCCCAACAATAAAAGTGGCGAATGGCGCCTGGATCGATCAATCTTTCTCTATTGATTCGTCTTCCAAGAATCTCTTCGAGGTTTTTTTCAAAGCTGTTTTGGCTCTAGTTGATTTCAAATCAAAGGTACTAATACTCTGTTTGCTCTGTTTTTGACAAATTTGAAACTAGTCTAGTATCTTTTATTGATAGGAAACAAATATTGATATAGCTGTTTTTGGTAATGAACTGTTTATTTTTTTCTTGAAGGCTGAAGAAGTGCGTATGGAGGTGAATAAATGGGCTTCATATCACACCAATGGTCTCATCAAAGATCTTCTTCCTCAAGGATCCGTTACAAGCGAAACCATCTGAATTTATGGAAACGCATTGTACTTCAAGGGAGCTTGGGAAGACAAATTCCACAAATCAATGACAAAAGACCGCGACTTTCACCTTCTCAATGGAACCTTAGTTTATGTGCCTTTCATGAGCAGCTATAAGGACCAATACATAGAGGCTTATGATGATTTCAAGGTCTTAAAGCTCCCATTTCGACAAGGTGATGATACCAGTCGAAGTTTCTCTATGCAAGTTTTGGTTTCTTGGATAGTCATATTCATAGTCAAAAAGTTAAGGTTGGTGAATTTAGAATCCCAAAGTTTAAGATCGAATTCGGATCCTCGGCTTCAAGGGCTTTCAATAGACTAGGATTGGATGAAATGGCTTTGTACCAAAAAGCATGTATGTGTTGAGATCGATGAAGAAGGTGCTGAAGCTATCGCCGCAACTGCTGTTGTTGGAGGCTTTGGATGTGCTTTTGTTAAGAGGATAGATTTTGTTGCTGATCATCCATTTCTTTTCATGATTAGAGAAGACAAAACCGGAACCGTTTTGTTCGTTGGTCAGATCTTTGATCCTTCTAATTCTTCTTAGGCTCTCGAGGTATGGTTCGTTACGTTTCGGTTTAGTTTGGTTAGAACTCTAATCGACTTTAATCTAGATTCGGTTATCACTTTTTTTTTATTTCGTTGTTGAGTTTTAGTTTCAGTATTTTATTCAGTCATGATCACTGTATATTTCCCCTCATACATGTTTCATGGTCTGATATTTTGTAACTGAAGTCAAAGCACAAATATTATAATTTTGAATTGGTGACACTTAAACTTCTGGACAAAAATATTCCTTCACGTTGGACTGGGTCGAATCAAAATTGTTCAGCCAGAAAATTTGTGGTTAGACCGGCACCTGTCACTGTCAGAGAAAGAAAAGACCATATACATTTTAAATTATAATACTTGCCCAGTGAATGACTAAACGTGATCGTTCACCTAAAACTAAACAAACACTAACACAAGGAGGAGACAATTAGACAAATCAAAAGCAAACAAAAACCATCTCAATAAACATAAAGCATCTATGATCTCAGATTTGATTCTATACATTTCTCTCTTTTGGGAGATGCATGGGGGTCAATGGAGTGATTAAACTATATTTAATTAAGTATACACCACTAAATACCATTTAATGTATGGATCAGAAACTCTGGCTAAGGAATTGAAGTTGTCTAAGGAGAGGACTAAAAGCCTTTATGAGCTTCTCAAAAGGATGATATATTGATATTGTGAACACCTTCTTCGTAGGTCGTTACGTCAATGTTTACCTCCATATTTTACTAGTTAGTCAGTAAAAGCTACTATTCATCTGATCATCAGAAAGAAGGTATGCTTGTGCATTCATGTTTTGTAATTGTTTCCCTTTGAGCAAAAGAACTTGGTAATAAAAACGACAAGATAACGTCAAATCAATGAATGATAACATAATGAGAATGCTTGCAAATTACAAATAAAAAGATAAAAATCATAAAATTGCATAAACTAAGGGAAAAAAACAAAAGAAAATGTTTCAAGTGTTACAAAGAGACATGAGATTGTCCATGTGATTTGGGAAAGTCTGGAGGGCATAAACACGACGGTTTCCAAGTCCACTCTTGTGCCTAAATTCGCGGTCCGCGACTCCTTTAAATTCTACCGTTCTGAAGCTGTTTCCCTCCGGATCATAATATTTAATGTAAAACGATCTAAGAAACGTGGATGGTAGATAAATAAACTCACCAGTATCAGTGATACCACTTAGTTTGAATTTCGCTTTCAAAACCGGATCAGTGTGACTGAAAGGTACCAGAAAAGATTTATCCGACCACTTGTGTTTCTCTGCATCCTCCAAAACCCAAAATGTAATACCATTGTTCACGTAATCACTATGAACTAAAGCTAATCTTCCCTCATAAGCTATCAGCAACCCCCCAATAGTATCCACTGGTAATGTTATTGCATGGAACTTTTCAGATCTGACATCAAAACTCATTATAACCGCTTGTGACTGTCCTGGCAGATTATCAATACCGGCTTTATAATACAGAACCCCATTGATACATCTCCCATAACTATCAGTATAAGGATGATGGTCAAGGCTGGTTTTGATGCTTCTCCATTGTTCTTGACCTGATCCCAATGTTAAAACCCGACAGTCTTCCCAGATTTTATCACCAGGCAAGCATACAACTTTGTGTTTACCCTCGATTGGATCGTATCCTAAATAGGCAGCTATACTTCTCCAGGTCTTGTCGGGTTTGGTCAATGTTAAAAACCGTCTCATGGTAGGGTTCCAAATTATGGGTGTTGCTAATTTTCTAAAGCAGATCAAGCCATGGACAGATTCCATGAATGAGAAGCAAAAATATTTAGGGCATTTCATTTGGTAAATATCCAAAGGCTGAGGAGAAGAATCATTACCATACCGCTCGTTCGAGTTCTGATGGTGTTGTGGAAATGAGAAAACACACAACTTGTCCATTCTTTTGAAGAATAGTAGAAGACTTGGCTTTGACAAGGACCGAGTTTCGAATGACTTGATGAAATATGGATCTGTGGTGATTGATGACCAGAGCTTTGATATGCAACGAGATCTCACGATAGATTTTGCAGGCAGCTTTAAGAGTATCTCCGAGGCTAGATCAAGAGGAAATGAAGAATATGGTTTTGACATTGATGAAGATTGTCCTCTTCTTCTTTTGTAGACTTTCAGTCTCTTCTCTTCTTGTTGCTCCATCTTTGGTCAAAACCCTAAATTTGATCTCCACGATTACGCTCCTCTATCTATTGTCTTGACCTTTCATCCGCTCAATTGTACAATTGAAAAACAGTAATTCTGTTTTATTTTATTAATAATTGAATAGTATGTTACAGCAATAAATGTTGGTTACTAAAAGTGAGGAAAGAAATCTCTGAAACATTTAATTCAAAACAAAAGAAAGGTAAAAATGGGAAGAAAAAAAAAGAAGGAAGATTCTCAATAAGTTTGAAAGACAATTTTATCATATCATAATTTAATATATGTGACAATTTTTAATGGCATTTCATGTGATAAAAAGTACAATGAAATGATTGGTGCGGAATAATATGTGAAGAAAAGAGATTTGATGTAGATTTTGATTGTTTTTATTTTAATAAAGAACTTAAGCAAAAGCAAATGATTGGTGAATGATTATTTTTCTCGTTTGAATGGTTGATGTGGAATCTTAATTTGATTTGTTTAGATGTTGCCAATTTTATGTGTTAAGTAGGGTATCATTGTATTTATGATTCGTTTGTTTTAGGCAAGATAATTAAAAACAATTTTGTAAAGTAATGATTTGACTGCGAAATCGTCCCCAAGTTTCATATCTAGCTGACCTATCAAATTCATCACATGATGGAAGAGTATACCATGTCTTTGGAATGGGTCTGTGGAAGGCTTGTTGAAGTCACAAAAGCAGTAATGTTGTAGTGATTTAGCAAAGGATATTTGTTCAATAGCTCTATAATTAGTTAGACCGGTCTAATCAAACATGTTATTGCTTTACTTGACGACGGTTCATTTTTTGCGAGACATGTTTTAGTCAGACCGCGGCTCTTGTCAACCAAAACAAATAAAGAAGCTTTTGGTATCCTATAAGGACACCCCAAACATTTTCTAAATTCAAAACTGGTCCAGTAAATGCCTAAATGTGATCGTTCACCTAAAACTAAACAAACGATTCACAACAAGGAGACAATTAGACAAATCAAAAGCAAACACGAATCATCTCGATAAACATAAAGCATCTATGATGTGAGATTTGTTCTATACATTTATCTCTTGGGAGATTGGGGGTCAATTAATGGAGAGATTAAAGCATAATTAATTAATTGCACCACCAATTAACATTCAATAATCACAGATCAGAAACTCTGGAGAGGAACTGAAGTTGCCTAAGGAGAGGACTAAGAGTCTCCATGAGCTTCTCACAAGGATGATTATGAACACCTTCGTAGGTTGTTACAACGACGTGTGGATCTTTTGCCAATCTCTGCACTTGTTTCTTCACGTTGCATGTGTGGTATGTACATCTGTAATAGCTCCTGCAATTATTATTTTGCAAAAATAAATTAAATGAATAATAAATTAATCCATAGGTGATATTATATATATAAGAATTAAGCTACCATGCCAGATTTATATATATGATGTTAAGTATTTTGGGTATAACTAAATCTCATTGAACAAAGTGCATATTAATCACGAGGTATAATTGGTGATAATTTCAGATCATAGAGCTTGTAATTTCAGGTACGGTATTGACTAAGTACATGCATTTTGTATTTTTAAAACTAATTTTTAAAGTAAACTTTGGGTTAATTAGTTTGGTTCTGCAAAAAACATCATCCAGTTTAATTATACATATACTAGGCTTGACGAACGGCAACAACGAAACCAATGTTGGTTTTATTATCACGGATTCATCAATATGATTTCATTCGACTAAAAGTTTTAGATATTTGGAATTAATTATCTGTCACCGAAATACGTTGCCATAGCAAAAACAGTCAAGGGAACAAAAATTTTCATCGACAAAATATGACGTACAACAACAATGTTTATCGTTTCCTAGCACCAACGACATAAAAAGGCCCAAATTGTTCTTTTTTTTGGTTGAAAATTTAATATATTGATCCAATTATTGGGTATAACAAATATACTTTAAACAAAAAAAATTGGTTACCGATTATATTTCTGATTATATAATTCAGGGATCGGTTTGGATAAACCATACACAATGAACACCCCCAATTCCTGACACAAGCAATAACGTTAACGTAATGCAACCGGACTAACTCAAATTGATGACTTTGGTCGTTTAGGTTGTTAAACTAATGTTTCCAAAATATACACGTGACCAAGAGTGTGTGTCTGTGTATGTTAAATATATATATGCTTAGGTCAATTTCGATATCTACTTCAACGATGTCATATATATTTTTAATCACTGCAATAAATGTATAATTTAACAAAGTAAAAGAAGAACCTGGGATGAGCATTGTTCTTGACAGATTTCTGACCGTACTTTCGCCAACGATAACCATCATCAAGAACATCATCATCACTCCTTGTTTGAAAAGCTATCCTCTGCATTGCCGAAGTTCTCTTCCCTTTTCCTTTATTGCAATTCTTATTATGATCACTATTATTACTCACTAATCCTCCCATTTCTCCTCCACCTCCTCGAAAGTTCTCCAGCTGAGCAGAAGGATGAAAACTTGCCGGAGAACAAGAAGAAGAAGATGGACCTACATCGCCCGAAAACATTAACGAAGGAGCCATCATCATTAAGGTTTTGTCATCAAAGGAAGAAAAATGATTGTTGTTTTCGCCTTCTTCTAGGGTTAACATAGGGTTTGTATTGTCAACCCCTTCCATTGATTATGAAGCTTTCACTATCTAGATCTCTCTCTCTCTCTCTCTCTCTTGGTATATGTATGTGTGTTTATGTAAATAATATGTTTGCATAAGAAGAACAAGGAGAGAAGAGGAGAAGAAAGGTTATAAGGATATTTGTAGGAAAGAAAGAAGAAGAATGAGTAAAAGGGTATAATATTGAGGCCAACTATATTCACCTAACTTTCTGTTCAACTGCCTTAGTCTTTCCTCCTTTTCCTAGCTATCTATCTCTTTTTCTCCTTTACAACGTTTTGGATCTATATGTTAATATACATCCAAAAATGCATGTACATGCCAAATGTACTTCAATCCATATTTTGAAATCTAAATAGTAAATATTTATCTTTAAAAAAAAAAGGAAAATTGATAGCGATGGTATATACATTATTGAGTGGTCTTATACATTTTGAGGTAGTTTGTTTAAATTGATTAACTTTATTAAATTTATATGCTACGGCACGATCGAATTCATAATATATATGTATATAGTTTTTTTAAATATGTAAATTGTAACGATTATGTTAACTTCATGTGAAAAAACTACTCACATGTTTCATATAAACCGGTAAATTAAATCTCAAGTATATTTATGGTCAAAGTTCTTGTTGATGTTTTCCCATGACGACAAAGGGAATGTTTGGTATAGGCTTAACTTGCTTATAAATTTCCATGTAATAGGTGAAATAATATTCTTTATTCTATTTTATAAGATGTTTTGGTTAAAAATACAAAGATTAAAAAATAAGAAATGTTTTCTTATTTACAAAAACTCAACCAATAGAAAAAATATTATAGAATTTAAATAATCATAAACTATTAAGTTAATATAAATTGTGCATAGAAATTTGAGAAAAATTAACAAAATGGAACAAACAAAAAAAAGCATAATTAAAACATCCTACTAAATACTCTTATTTTTATTTGCATTTCATACGTGTGGTTAAAGCCCAATATAGTATACCAACTTCATACTTGTGTGTAATGACGTAAACGCGCTCGTGAGCTTAAAATGCACCTCTGGTCGGATCGAAAACTAGCTAAAATTGAATTTTGAGATTGTTTTAAATCACTAAACTAATTTAGAAAATAGATATTGAAGTTTTGTATATCTTAACGTTTTAAACTCTAAGTATGAGATCTAGGATTTAAATGAGATATCATTTATCATTTTTGCATTCCCCCTACGTTTTGTTTTTGCAAAGTATCATGTTGAATTTTCGTTCGTCCAGCCATACTCAGTTATAGTATCGATTAATTCTTGATTTATCCTTAATGAAACTTATAGAAATCATGAAGTCGCTTAGAATGTTGGGCATTAAATACGGATAAGCGAACTTAAGCAAATTATTGTGGTTGTGGTTGTTAAGAATCTCTTTGGGAATGAAATATTTACATTCTTAGCAAAAAAAAAAAAAAAAAAAAAAAGAATCTCTTTGACCGGTTAAATAAACCCAAACGTAATTAACCTATGCAAACTCATGCATGCACGTGGAAGCTTCTCATTCTCATAAACTATGTAAGTCTGTATAATATAAATCAAATGTTAGTATAACTATCTTAACTATCTTATTGATAGCTTAAAAAGATATAACCGTAATCAAATTTAAAAATTTGGCTTATAGTTAGGCTAAAAAGTGTTGTTAGCTAGGCTTTAGACAACTCACTTAGCCTAGCTATATGTAATTTAATTAACTTAGGTGAATCACGCGTATAATTTGATTTTGGTGAATTGTTTGGTACCAAGTATTAGTTTGATCTCTTATTAGCGTCTTTAACCAAGTTTTAAATTTAAAAAAAAAATAAAAGAAAAAATAATGAACTGCATGCCGTTTTCTTTTAATGGAAACGGCAACAGTGCAATTCTCAAATCCCGTAACTTAACGCGCCTCTCTCTCTCTCTCTCTCTCTCG